GTGTGAAGATGATCTGCTCCTATGGCCTTGGTATACCCCGCCAGCGCTCGCCGATTCATCTCCTCTGCCTGCTCATACCTTCCTTGAAGTTGAATCACCGTCGCCAGGCTGCTCACCCACATCAGCGTGTCCGGTTGATAGTACCCCAGTGCTTCCTCATGATTCTCCAGCGCTTGCCAGCTAATCTGCTCCGCCTCTTCGTACTTTCCTTGGTGTTGAAGCACCTGCCCTAGATCTCTCATCACCTTCATATGCCTCAGGCCCAAGGAAAGTATCAAGGGGCAAAAAGAGCAAGCAAACCGACAAGCGCTTGAAGGGTACGCTATCGTTGGGGAATTCATCAGGACACACTGACGAGTTTGAATGATCTGCAACCCTATTCCAAGACCGAGCGAGGACGAAAAAGCCCGAGGAGGCGTATCGGCAAGCTCAAAGGGGCAGGAAGGAAGCATGGTGAGCAGATCACCCTGATAATCTGACTTGCGTAAGCAATCTTGCGGCCGTGCTTCAAGATCGACAATTGGACAACGAGGCTGAAGAGATGCATCAAAAAGTGCTGGCAGATTACCAGAAGGCGCTAGGAACAGGCTATTTCTGCTCACGCGAGGGGAAGAACATTCAAGTACGGATTATGGCGAGGAAGGTTTTCTAAGACCCGGTTTATCCAGTCTGCAGGCATTCGGCTATGACTTAAGAGTCCAAGCTATAGTCAACCTCGAATGCGCTCTCATATGTGGAAACCTAAATGGAGAATACGTCTCTTCAATTTGAGAAGGACTTTGAACACCTCACAAACCTTGCTCGGCGAACAAACTTTGCGGATCAAGTGATGATAGGCACAATGCGCCATAGTTTCTCGGTCAACCTAGACCGACCGACCTATTCTGAGTTCATCTATTGAAAAAATGGCCCCGAGCCGTATCACACTACATCAGTTGACCGTCTCATCGTCGAAGATTGTTTTTCTTCTTGCTGCAACGGAGTCGAGACATTTACAGCTGTTTGGCTTTCACCCGTGCTTCCCTTAGCGAGTTGGACTAGCTGCTGCTGAAGTGCAACTATGTAATCGACCGCACTCTCCACTGTGGTTGCTTTCGATAGCCCTCTGCCCTCTCTGATCAAATGGGAGGGAGGGATTATTCCTTGCAGTCTTTGAATGGCCCGTGGAAGACGGTCCCTGCGACCCCGTTCGTTTAATACGTGCATAGCCTTTCTTGACAACGTGAGAGCGACGAAAGACTGCGAATAATACAATCCATGATCAGAATGGTCTCCGTCCTGCATATGCTCGTAGTTCGATTTAGTAACTTGTGGACAGTGTGAACTTTTGACTGAACGTCCAGCTGGGGTCTCTGTTGAAGTATGGTAAGCGATGTACAATGAGGCCCCGGATGGTTGGACAATGAGCTTACGAGTTTCCCCTTGTGGCTCCTCGACTTTTTTTTAAGCCATTGGACAGTTGAAGCCTTGCGACCAAGTTTACATCCGAGTTTGTGCTTCAGCCCCGTCGATGTGCTTCTCGAATCAACAACGAGCGGTGGTGAACGCGAAACTATCCTGTACAATAATGTAAAGAGACTGGTTGGAAACTGACGTTCACGAAATCAGGTCTGCGCCCTGATGGTGATAGGCCTTGCTTCGAAAGAATGGGCAGGTCGGAGGCGAATCGCACAGGGATGGTTTTAATGTTTCACCACTCCATGCTGTCTATATCCCAGTGCGGCACGAGCAGCTGTCACTTTCAGCATGCTTGGGCGTCAGTATGTGCATGTCATGTAGCCAAGAACATTCCTAGGGAGATTCCAGCCCCTCTCGTAGTCAGAGATGCCATACCTAATTTCCTTGTCGCGTCAGGCGGTCGGAGTAGGCAAAAGGCGCAGGCTAGCCGACCACTAAAATGCTGGCAATGACTAAGTGGCTAGATGTCTACAAGCAACCTCAGTCGTTTCGTCGAGACGCAGACGGCGACTGCCGAAGAACTTCTTCTTGTTAAAAACTATCTAAGTCGAACAGGAGGCTGGTGCACCCTTGTCAGCCAATAAGACCTCCGGCCTAGTCCACGCCGTTTTCGCAACCTGGCAATCCTTAAGTTTCCATCACAATTGCTTCGGTTCATCGAGCCGGTATACCAAGATATACTTTCTGACTTACAGTGAGCTACAAATGTCTTGAACTGGGGAAGTCTGACCTTACTAGGTCTGTTCCTACCACGCCCAAGTATATGGAAGCGAGGAAAAGCCGCGGCTGAAGTCCTAGATCACCACGGATGGAGACACCGCTCCGGCAGCAACCAACTGGGCAAGTGGGCTGTTATCCTCTAGGACAAGTTGGTCCTGTGAGTGAGCACCGAGTCTCTGATCCGATCGAGGATAGACGTTGTCCAGTAGATGAAGTTGAGAAGGACAGCGACAGAACCTCACGACATTCGCCGCCAGAGCCATGTCACTCGCATGGATCTCCAGTTTCACGACCAATGCATTGTTTGGACTATTCTGCTTGCCATGCGGATGACATGGTGTCATTGATTGCATTCATGTTGATGGCACGGATGCAACATAACAGCACTATGAAGTTGACTTTATGTACCGCCACTAGATTCCATTCACGAACAACTCCGAGCATTTCTGTGATCGACTATCTGCAGCGCCTAGCAGTTTGTGCCAGACTGAGCAACTCAGTCCTGTTGGGTATGGTATGTTACATCGACAGAATATGCACCTTATGCCCCGAATTTGCTGTCACTGGCTTAACAGCCCACCGACTGCTTGTGACTACTGCAGTCATTGCTAGTAAGGTGCTCAGTGATTACTTGCCGTCCCACAAGACATATGCAAGGGTTGGAGGAGTCACGGCGAAGGAGCTTGCCATACTAGAACTGTACTATCTGAAGAAGGTGGATTGGCGGGTCTCTCTTAACGCCGCACACCTTTATCACTGTTACATGTTGCTTGTGGAAGGAAAGTACACACTGGGCTTCAGAAACAAGAGCACTGCAGCATAGCTCGGGGATGGTGCGCTGTGGATCTTGCACCCGGACCGGATGAATCCGAGCCTCGAAGTCCAGGAAGGTGACAGGTTCTGCATCAATGTTGAATTCGCGATCTGCCCACCGTGCTTCCAAGGTGATTTGCCCACATAATACCGTGCGGTCGTATCCCACATGAAGGGTTGTGGTGTGCATACTTTTCGGTGATTGCTCAATGCTTCCTGTCATATGCTTAAAATGTTAAGCCTGTGGAGAGCAGCGCCACTCAATGCCACAAAAGCTCCGCGAAGTCTGAAGCATAATATGACGATCCTCGCCGTCACGGCGTCACGGCAATACAACGCACCGGCCCGTAGAACTGCTTCTACATCCATGCCTTCCAGATCCTTCTAGCCACCTTGTCCTCATGGAACCCCAAGACGGAGCAGGACATATGTACTGCGCCGTCAGCAAAATCTCCTGGGACTTAGGTCCAAGTCATTGACTCATTGCACTGCCTAGAGAGCTGGACATCGAGGTCGTTCCCTATCCATGAGTTCAAATATCGAGAGGTTCGTAACTCCGCAGGAACGCCTTTCGCCACAGCCCAGCTCGTGCCAAACATCCTCATGAGCGTCTTGACCTCTTAAATTTGCGAGAATGTTCGCAGCTTCTTCGCACGACGTTTCACCGACCCATGGGCCGCCAACTCCCTCCGACACAGCACAGCAACACGGGATCAGGTGACTAGCGGATGAAGGTACACAGAGTTGGGCTCCAGGTCTGCTACCGTGGGCCATATCATCCTTGACTGATTGGTTTCCAGGCGCACCCGCAGATCGTCGGTGGAGTATACGAGGATGTGGCTCGACATGCTCCAACTCTATCGTACTGACAACAGGCTCTGATGGCGACCTAATAAATCGTGGGAGCATTCGAGGTTCGGGAGCATTCTCTTCTCTTGCATGCGCTGACCTTGCAGCAACAGGATCGCATTCACTTGGCGTCGCAACGTCATCTTTGGTTTCAGCGACGGGTTCGAGGCTCGGTAATGGAGCATTAACACCTAGCCATATATACTCGACGTTCGTTTGTCGTGAAGACCTCGGTGTGCAAGCATCTGGATGACAGGCAGTTTCCTGGAGGTATTTGTCGATGTGGTATCTGCTGACCCCAAACTGAATTTCCAGCAGCCATTTCAGGAGTCGATTCTCACAATTGACCTGCTGAGCCGCAATTTGAACCTCCTTTGTGGCGGAAATTCCGTCGGTTTCGAGCTTCCTGACACGTTGCTCGAGTTCTTTTACGTAGGATTGACGTCGGGCGCGGAAGTTGCGCTGGTTAACACGATTTCTATCGGTTAATCGTCGTTGCGGTATGTCCTAGTTGCACTTTAGCAGGGCTTTTCAAGGGCAAACGCAGGGGATTGAAGTCCGCATACCGCATTAGCCATTTCGTCCGTCTCCGGAGATGATGGGTGCGCAAATATGGCCGCGTACTTCTTCTCCAGGTGCTTTTCTGACCTGGCGGCTACACAGTCAGAGGAACAAGAGGGCAAACAACGAAGCTTGCAGTCAGCGCCTGGTGGCGCACTTATGTCACGTGCACGGCCCCGCAATGACATTTCTTGGTGGCAGTGACCAATCACCGGTGGTGAGTGACTAAGTACACACCAGCAAAAAATCCTTCCCGATTGATGGTCTCGGGCCGCATAGATACAGAAACCCATCGTGAGCCTGACCGCCGATTTGGTTTCCTCTTTCCATCCCTCGTGTTATGAGATTGGGAAGTGATAACAGGTTCGCGCGTGTTCCTACGACGCATTATTCAAGACTATTAGCCTTGATAACAGTTCTAGCCCCAAGTGTCAAAAGTTCCTTGTTGGGTGTTAGTTCGGTGAGCCCTTTCAGGCCTCGACGTCATACGATGCCCGCTGCTACAATACCTCAACATGTTCTGACCTGTGCCGAAGCGCAGGAGGCTCCTTCAGAATCCCGAAAAGTCATCGAACGGGGATCTTAACAATACGGCGTCTATGCGCGCGGTGATAAGACCGCAGCGACATGCTCAATTTGCGTATCGACAACTTTCTATACCGCCATCACTTGACGACCCAGCCCTTCGATCCAGATATCGACCGTTCCTTCTTCCCAACAACATCACCAAGCACGACTGGATTAGCAGATTGGAACTTGCAACTGTGACTGAAATGGCATACAATGATCTGAAGCTGACGGGCGAGAGGATTAAAGTCCTGGTGCTGTATGGCAGTCTTCGGTCGAGGTGAGTTAGAAATATAGATTTCCACCAGGAACGGCAAGCTAACTCTCCTGAGGTCTTACTCCAGACTTCTGGCGTTTGAAATATCCCTCATCCTTTGGCGACTCGGCTGTGATGTGCGAATTTACGACCCAAAAGATCTGCCCATGAAGGATGATGAGCAGCATAGTCATCCAAAGGTGCAGGAACTCCGGGAACTCAGCCGATGGAGTGATGGGCACTTTTGGGTGTCACCTGAACAACACGGTAACATGACCGCTGTCTTCAAGAATCAAATCGACTGGATCCCTCTGAGTACGGGTTCGGTGCGGCCAACCCAGGGACGTACTTTGGGATTGGCAATGGTCTCTGGCGGTTCACAGTCGTTCAATACGGTCAATAACCTTCGCGTTCTCGGGCGATGGATGCGAATGTTCACGATCCCTAACCAGTCGTCGGTTCCCAAGGCCTACTCCTTATTTACTGACCAGGACGCGGATGAAGACAGTTCAAGGCTGATGCCAGGCGGCAACTGGGACAGGTTAGTGGACTGCGCTGAGGAGTTCGTCAAATATACGATGATCATGCGACCCCACTTCGCCTTCTTCAACGACCGCTTCAGTGAACGGGAAGCGCTCCCCAAAGTTTAAGGTAGCAGAGGTCTGTTGGTCTCAGGAATGCGGGAAGCCCCTAAGTCACCTATAGGCTAGTTTACCATAGAATATAGAATGCAGTGAGAAGGTTATGGGTTGCGGCACGCTGGCAATTTTGCGAATCATTTTGACGGGGTGAACTCAGGCGGCAAAGGCATACAAAGGGGCTTCCGAATATCCGTTGTCTTTTTGTAAGCGAGAAATACAGTAACAAGAATCGACTTCACAGCCTGTTGTTATCCCTCCCAAAGTTGGATAGCATATCGTAGTTTGATAGGACTTCAACACCCAACTTTGGCACGCCAATAGGGCAAACTCGCGAATTACAGAAGTTCGGCGAAGTACCTTAGTAATTCACGCTCCGCCACAGAGCGCAGACAGCCACCGGCAGGACTTCCATGAAATGACACAAGCCACGCCCCTCAAAATCCAATGGAAGTGAGGGAATGACACCTATTGTTGGGCCACGAAAACGCAATTATCATTGCCGTTTTCGGGCCATGTCTGACCCCAATTCAGTAGGTTTCCTACGGCACTCGTGAGACGAAGCGTACAAGGTGTGCGTAAGTTGAACTAACGTCAATGAATCTAGAAGACGAAAAACGAAAAGGGAGAAGCTTTCAAGCGTTCTGTTTAACACATGAAGATAGGTTTAATCTAACTATATAGTCTATCAGCCCGCGAGCCGGAGGATCTCAGCTATCTGGCGTTTTAGTCTGGGCATACAGTCCTGTAGCACAATTTGTACCATCATGATCCGTCCTAGTCTTTCCAGTTCCAACGTCCGGCAATCCATCTGACAAGATAAACCAAGGAAATCAAAACCGGCACTTCAATCAGTGGGCCTACAGTCGTTGCCAGGGCCTCGTCGCTGTTAGCGCCGAACGTCGCCACGGCGACCGCAATAGCCAACTCAAAATTATTGCTGGCTGCGGTTGCTAGCTCGTATCCGAACCGTAGACGCTTTGTAATCATGAGAGTCAGGAAGAAGATGACCACGAAATACACGATCAGAGGAGCCGCAACCCGGACAACCGAGACAATTTGATGGACGACTCGCTTCCCTTGAGACGCAAACAGGACCAAGATAGTGTAGAGGAGGCCGAGGAGTGACCACGGAGCGATCCACTTGAGGAATTTTTTTTCGTACCAGTTAGCGTTGATAGCCCGCAGGATGAAGCGCGTGGCAATGGCAGCCCCCAGAGGTATTCCAAGGAAAACTCCGACACTTCTGGCGACAGTGGAGTAGGACACCTCCGACGCGCCACCACCGCTTATGACATTGACAAACAGGATCGCCAACGGCGCATATAGGACCATCTGCAGGATAAAGTTGACAGCCACAAGAATGGCACAGTACTCCTCATCCCCGCCTGCAAGGCCTGTCCAGATCAAGACCTGTGCCACAGCATGTTAGCTAGTATAGCAGCACACGAGTTCTCGCGGCCTTACCATGGCAATACAGCGCGCTAGTCCGACAAATATTAGACCGGGTCGAAGGCCCGGTTCATCAGGCAGGAAAGCCCGGGCCAATCCCAGCTTTACAATCAGTAAGGAACCGACAAAGATGCTTCCGAGTCGAAGATACCATGAGAAGAGGTGCAATAACCCAGTTGGCCACGATGCTAAAGCCTCAAGTTGTATCCAAACTTGGCGGTGAGCGAAGATGCGGTGCAGCGTCTCGTACTTGACTTTGCAGAGAATATGATACATCATAACCAACAGTCCGACGGCTGTAGTGTAAGTCGTAGAGTCAGCGTAGCCTTGAGACGAATTTACCGATCGGAATCGACACGTCCACAAATTTTCCCTTCTGAAGAGCTGGTCCAACGTCGTTCACAAAATTGCCGAGTAAGATGCCCACAACTATCGCAAGCAGATCCAGAGGACGAGCAACCGGTCTAGCCATCCCAGACCCGCATAAACCGATTTCTTCGGTTGAACTTGCTCTTCTGTCGTAAGCTTCTCGACGTCTGCGCCATTGGGAGATAGAGACGCATGGCGCTGTGAAGAATTGTGATCTGGCTCAAGGTTGAGCACCTGCTGCGAAGAGCTCATGATGGTCTCCAGAAAAGTTTGGTTGTTGTCTGCTCTGCCTAGACTTGAAGTTAGGAAAATATTGGCGGACATACCACTGGAGGTACCGGCATTGCCATGGACGGAAACCCATCCACGTTAGCACTGGATGCTGTCAGTTACCCGGCGTTTCCACAGTCCGTTCCAGGTCTATACCCCGTCGATATCAGCTCCCTCTCTAGCTTCGAACCTGGGCCTGGGTCATCGTGGGATTGGATTGGCTGCACCAACAACGATACAATGTTTTCGTTCCCAGTCAGCGCAGCATTGGATTCGGATACCTTGCAGGACTGTCTTCGGGTCAATGTATGCTGCCAATGAGCTTTGATTATCAAACTTGACGGCAGTGCTTTAAAGCCGAAACTGCTTTCTGAATGGAAACTTACTTGCTAAGCAAAGTCGTGAAGAGGTTACCGTAGTACTTAAAGGCACAAAATACTTAAGAGCCATCATCTACGCCCATTAAACTTCCTAGGAGGCTCGGGTGGCAGAATTTACCCCAGCAGGACCTTGCTGATATGGACTTTCTACGCCGATTATGGCTGAGCCCTGCCGTATACTTCCAATGGCTGGGGCCATTCAGGATCACGGGCTGCAACCAAGTCAGTTAGGCGTTCATGTCTCGCTTTCTCAGCTTCGTTGATTAGGATCGGCATCAAGAGACCCTTAAACACGTTATGGGATCATGCTGAAGCAGAAGCACCAAAACGAATAGTACAATATATTGACAGGTCAACCTCACAAACTCCGTTCGCGCCACCAGGTCCCCCGAGGAAAAAGTGCCGCCTATACCTAAGAGCGAGTCAGGGTCGAGGTGATCAGAGTTATAGGCCTCAAGAAGAACTCACCACCACCTTCCTATGTCATTGGCGTGCCGAGCCCCCTAGTTGGGATGGCTGTAGGGATGCCGCAGTTCCAGCTGTGTTGCTTGAGGTGCCTTACATGGTCAGCCATTTCGTGCGTAAGGTAGGGAAATTTTACCCTGCGCTTCGGGGATCACGTCCACCGTCAGCCATGGTCGATTTGACACAGATCTTGACGCCGGCGTCGGAGTATTCGGAGTTCCCCGATCTAAGCCGAGGGTCACCTCTTGTTGCTCTTGTACCTGGGGCTCTCGATTGCGAATCGATGGTGTATATGATTTCAGAGTTTCGCCCGTATAGTGGCTGGCAGCTGCTTTCAGCGTAGGTTTGTAGCTCCGGATGGATCGGAAGGGTAGATCTGAAAGGTCCCCGGTGCGTCTGGCGGGATTCTTATCGCGCATCTCTGCAAAATGCCCAGTGCGTTTAGTGGGATTCTTTTCGCGTCTTCGGAACAATGGGTGGACCATTTCGATTTCGCATTCGCTTTCGAGAACGGTGAGCATTTGCAGGAGAACAGCGGGGAAAGACTTACTTCGTGGATCGGTGCGACGCCAGTCAATCAGCAAAAAGTCGACCCCAGGCTTTTGACCATTTTTTAGCCAGTCGAGCACTTCATTTCGTGTCACAACAGCAGGCGTGTCGTTGCGAGGTTTCGGATATGCATCGTACCAAGCGATGGCTCTCCAGCCATGACGTTGTCTGAGGCGCGTCGTAGTGATGGCTAACGTCTAGACGAAGTAAAGATGCACGAGAAAATTCTAAAGATAATAATGCACCTCATAAAGATTATTCTAGACGGCGCAGGGCGGAGTGACACCTTTCAGAATTAATAATGTGCTGTTAGTGTTTAGCAAAACTAAATTAAACTCACCAGTTGCCCCCCACTCGCCACCCTTATCAGGGCACGCCTTAGTCACTCTCCTGCTTTAATTGGCCCCGGAGAACGCACTAATTGGGACTTTTACGCTACTTATACGGAGGTCCGCCCCGAGATAGGTCAGGGCTGCAAGGCGCGAGCGGCCATCCGGGCAGGAAAGGCTCAGCAGAAGTCCAATATTGATAATCCAGACCGCTTCGACGCAACGGAGCAAGGATTCGCTCGGCGCCATTCACCGGTTCTCGATGTGAGAAGTTTGAAACTTGCTAGTTAAAATGACAGCAAACAAGCTGCCAAACAAGTCGTGTCAACGGATAGGCTAAATTGTGCAGGAATTGGCCCTTAATAATATTCGGCAACCAATAGGTCTTGTAGGCCGTATGTTTTGCTGCCTGCGAAATGGTTGGCTGTCAATGATCGATACCAGCCACCGTCTAGTTTCCCTAAGAGTAGGATCCGGCCAACAGCATGTCCGATGAACACGAGAGGATTGCATGTTGAGACTATTACCGTCTCCTCTTTCGACGCCTTGCCTTAGTTACATGCTAGGCTCTATCGTCTGATGGCTTCGTGGTCTCTGCTCCGCGCCTCTCACCCACATCATCTGACGCGAGCGGTTCTTGGGTGTTAGTCTCCAGCCCTGGCCGAATCGTCCAGTCAAAGATGTTGTCGTATTCGAACCTTGTCGGCGAAACAGCTTGTTGAATATCTTCCGCAGCTGCCGATAGTCCGGCTGATTTTCGTAGCATATTCTCGAAACCGAAGGAGAACAAAAGTCTAGACGGGTTCCACACTATCCACATGATGTCAGCCAATCATGTCTTACTGGTGACAGAGCCTTTGCTTTTTCAGTCTGACGTCACCCTTGAGGCTTCGGTCGTTTCCCTGTTGTTTTTCTCGATACTGGTATACATACTCGGAATTAAACGATAGATCAGTTTTCGCACGAGCGTGGTATGAAATCACCAAGTGGTACCAGGTAGGTCAGATCAGCCCCACCAGAAGATCGACGACAGAACGAGTTGGGTTTTGACCTCTCGAAATATCACCCGTCCTAGAACATTCAATTCCAAGAACTGTTTCGAGGCTCGATACTACACAATGACGGCCGCCGCCGCCGAATCTGCAACGCTTGCCAACGGCGTCAAGTCCCACGAATCACACATACCTTCAACAAATCTACAAAACAGCCGTGCATCAAGCAATGGCGACCTAAACAATACATCAGCCATTCGAGAGGTCCTGAAACCGGAGCGACGCGTCGAATTTGCACACAAGTCACTTGCCATTTCTGATTCGGTTGACGACACCAGTATTCGCTTGACATATCGACCATTTTTGCTACCCGATTCTATCCAGCAGCATGACTGGGTGAGCAAACTCGAGCTAGCGACTGCGACTGAACTAGCGCATAACGAGATAAAAGACACGTGTGAGAGGATCAAAGTACTGGTGTTATATGGCAGTCTTCGTAACAGGTAAGATATGGTGCGCATCCCGGATTTTAGCCTTCCGGACTCACAATCACAACAGATCATACTCGAAACTCTTGGCTTACGAGATCTCGCGCATTCTCTGGCGTTTGGGCTGCGATGTACGGGTATATGATCCGAAAGGCCTACCAGTCAAGGACGACGAACAACATGCCCATCCTAAGGTTCAGGAGCTCCGAGAACTCAGCCGCTGGAGCGATGGGCACTTCTGGATCTCACCCGAGCAACACGGCAACCTCACCGCTGTTTTCAAGAACCAGATCGACTGGATTCCACTGAGCACAGGCTCTGTACGGCCAACTCAAGGCCGCACCTTAGGCCTCGCAATGGTGTCCGGCGGCTCACAATCTTTCAACACCATCAACAGCTTGCGTGTCTTGGGCAGGTGGATGCGCATGTTCGTCATTCCGAACCAGTCCTCCGTGCCCCAGGCTTACACCCTGTTCACCGCGGAGGACGCAGACGAGGGAGGCTCGAGGTTGATGCCTGGTGGCAATCGCGATCGCTTGGTGGATTGTGCCGAGGAGTTCGTCAAGTACACGATTGTAATGAGACCGCACTTTGCTTTGTTCAGTGACCGATTCAGCGAGCGAAAGCCAATGGCATGTGCATGATAGGGATTGCAACGGTGCTGGCATTGCGTAGAGGTGATAGACGGATGGCATACAATTAGTAGACGAGTTTAGATCTGGTAAGGGTGAAGGGAACTGGCGTTGAATACATAGTATCTAATTGACTTCGCAATGACCATGCTAATTTCATCTGGCGATATCGCATTCGCTCCATATTCAGGACAAAAGACGTTCGATTAGATAGACTCTTCGTTGCTATATATACTCCGTGAGGCGAAAAGCTCCCTAAGAGGCACACCACTCGAAAATGTTCGACACCTTCGCAAGATTCCATTCTATTGGTGTTGAAACCCTGTCGCACACCTGTGCTCTGAGCACTAGTCATGCCAGTTCCATCGACCAGCAATCCATTTGACCAGGTAAACGAGGGCTATCAGGACCGGCACTTCAATCAACGGCCCTACTGTGGTCGCCAATGCTTCGTCACTGTTAGCACCGAACGTGGCCACCGCGACAGCGATCGCCAGCTCGAAGTTGTTGCTGGCCGCCGTGAAGCTCTGTGTCGCCGCAAGCTTGTACCCAAACCCCAAACGCTTCGTGATCAGCAAAGTCAGAGTGAAGATGATGAGGAAGTAGACGATGAGCGGCGCCGCCACGCGGACGACCGAGACGATCTGATGCACTACTTGCTTGCCCTGGGAAGCGAAGAGGACCAGAATCGTGTAGAGAAGCCCAATCAGAGACCATGGGGCGATGTACTTCAAGAAGGTTCGCTCGTACCATTTGGCGTTAATAGCTCGCACGATGAATCGTGTGGCGACGGCGGCTCCGAGTGGGATACCCAGGAAAACTCCGACACTCTTGGCGACGGTCGAGTATGAGACCTGAGAGCTTGGGCTGTGGCTGATGACGTTGACGAAGAGGATTGCCAGGGGTGCGTAGAGGACCATCTGTAGGATGGAGTTGCAGGCGACGAGAATGGCGCAGTATTCCTCGTCACCGCCTGCGAGACCCGTCCAGATCAGGACCTGAGAAAGGGGTTGTCGTCAGCTTAGAATTCAATCAAAAGACTGTGCCGTGCGGGTCAGACTCACCATGGCAATGCAGCGGGCTAAACCCACGAATATCAGACCGTTGCGTAGCCCAGACTTGTCTGGGAGGAATGCCCAAGCCAAACCGAGCTTCTTTCGTCAGCCTCTGCATCTCAGCAATATGGGAGGAAAAGACATACCATTACAAGCGGTGCAATGATCCAATTGACAACAATGCTGAAGCCCAGTTGTACCCATATCTGCCGATGTGCGAACATGCGATGCAGCGTCTCATATTTGACCTTGCACAATATGGGATACATCATGACCAAGAGACCAACAGCTGTTCGAAGCCAATCAGCATACGAACATCAAGATGGTATCGTAAGAATACAATCATACCTATCGGGACTGACACATTGATGAATTTGCCTTTCTGAAGCGCGGGACCGACACTGTCGACAAAGTTGCCGAGCAAGATGCCAATGATGATGGCCAGGAGGATCCAGAGCACGAGGAGTCGGTCTAACCACCCTAGTCCAGCATAGACTGATTTCTTCTGTGCCAGCCGTTCTTGCTGCTGCTGCTTTTCGACATCACTGTTGGTGGGTGGGCCTTGTACGTGTTGAGTCGCCTTGTCGTCGAGACTATTGTCTGAGGCTTCTTGCGGGCTTGCCATTGTGAAGCACTGAGAGAGGATTATCTGTGGGAAATGTGTTATTGCCAACCTGTGTGGACGTGAAGTTGATGGCCGAGAAATTTGAAAACCTATGGATAAGAGAGCGAGGATAGTGTTTCTCAAATGGTTTATTTTGTTTCGTGTCTTGGGAAACGTGCGAAGGAAGCATTCAGGGAGGATGATGCAAGAAGACCATTCACAATCTTGACGCAGGGGCCTCACCAATGAGATACAGCTGGTGACTAAGTGCTAGGCCAATAAGAAGCTGCCAATGAGCAAGTGCGCCACTACCCCAGTCGCTGATTGGGCAGTCGGCAATATGCGAATGATATGGCACTGGTGACAAAGTGCAAGCATGGCCGTCCCTACCTGTAAAATTTTCATCTAAAGCGCCTTTACAAATCCCCTTCAAGCAGTGTCTAGAAGCTTACTCTCCTTCCGTACACTACAGGTTATCATTTCAAAGCTTTCACAGCCCGTGCCCAACCATTTGCCACAGCTCGACACTAAGCGTGAGGATGTCCAAGACACCTGCTTGGCATGATGCATACCCCAAGCCGCGAAATCCGTTACCGAACGTGGTGAAGCGAGACGACCTGTTACAATGGCTCAAAGATGGGCAGAAGTCTGGCGTTGATTTCCTTCTCGTTGATCTTCGCAGGACCGATCATGAGGTGACCATAGCTGCCAAGCAGAACTACGACACAGTTGCTGATACGACTATGTAGGGTGGCACAATCCAGGGGTCCATCAACCTCCCTGCGCAAAGCCTGTATTACAGCCTTCCGACTCTCTTGACGCTGTGCCAAAATGCTGGTATCAAGACCGTGATCTGGTACTGCGGTACGTTAACTCTCCCAAGTCGTGGTCGCTGCTCACCCTCTTGCGCTTCAGGCTCATCCAAAGGCCGAGGATCTCGCGCTGCCGGATGGTTTCAAGACCTCCTGGACGACAACAGGATCTCCGATATCACAAGTGCGATACTGGTGGACGGGATTGCTGGATGGGCACAGGCGGGAGATGAGTATACGCAACTTATGCAGGAGTACGATCCACAAGCATGGTCCAAGACAAAATGATACTCCTGGGCTGGAGATACAACTCAGTTCCACGCACACGAGACCTTCTGTACAAGTTCCAATAGATCATCTCAGTCAACTGTTGCCATAGCCAAGACCGCACCGCTTTCAACTCTTCGCTCCCACAGTACCCGCACAGCCCAAAGACACAGACTAGCGCAAATGTAACAAAGTCCACAGAATATCTGGGTATATAGGTATGGCCGACTGTGGGTGGGGCGGCGCAGGTAAAGTGCAATAGCTCGGAGACTTTGGCATGCAGTTGTCAACTTGCGTACTGTGAAGTAGTATGGTTGAGAAGGCATTGGAGTAGCTTACATGTGGTTGGTAGAACAACAGACAGCCATGAGAGTGAGAGCAGTGACGGAAGCTGTTTCAACCCTGCAACCTCTACGAAAGGTGGCGCAATAGTCTAGCTTATCAGCGAGGCAACGAAAGAGAGATTTGAAAGAGGCTAATACCATCCAAAACACTCCGAGTATTGCCCCGCTCAAGATCGCGAAAAGAATGACTGGTCCGAACGAGGTAGCTGGTATCCACAGGACAAGACAAAGGAGCCCGCAGAAGAATGTTAGACTCGTAGCCACTCCGAAACGACCAATAGCGGTCACTTGCAACTCCACTGCTTTACTGTTAGATTCTATGTGCCGTAGTTCAATGACGTGGTGTTTGTCAGTTTGAGTTTCAGGGCTGGGAAGCTCACCTCAGGGGTCGTCCTACTGCTGTTCCCAAATTCAGGAAAGCGGTGACTTGTGTTGCTTGCTGTCTCGTCAAGCGGATGACTATTGAGAAGTCCGAGAGTGAATACAGCAAGGCAATATAGCCAAGCATACTGAGGAAGGCCCAAGCTAGCAGTAGCAGGACATCAGCGCGCCACACCAGGCGTGTATCAAATGGATGCTGCTTTGGTCGAACGATCTTATTGCGATCACGGACGAAGACGGCTCGAGGGGTGTTTATCATAGTTAAACCAGCCAAGCCTTCCGCTCTTTTTCATTCGTCGCCGCAGCGCCATGAGCTTAGCCCCGAGCCTACTGCCATTGTCAGGTCTACTGCCCCCGCAACTGCGGGGCCTTGTATTGCGATGGTAAGGCGGCGAGAACTGGTGCGCTACTATACTCTAGCTAATATCCTGTGGCACAGGTCTTGATCTGGACAGGCCTTGCAGGCGGGGACGAGGAGTACTGTGCCATTCTTGTGGCTGTCAACTCCATCCTGCAGATGGTCCTGTATGCACCCTTAGCAATCCTCTTTGTCAATGTCATAAGCCGTGGTGGCGCGTCCGAGGTTTCCTGCTCTACTGTCGCCAGGAGCGTCGGAGTTTTCCTTGGGATACCTCTGGGGGCTGCCATTGCCACGCGCTTCATCCTCCGGGCTATCAACGCCAACTGGTACGAAAAGAAATTCCTCAAGTGGATCGCTCCGTGGTCACTCCTCGGCCTCCTCTACACCATCTTAGTCCTATTTGCATCTCAAGGGAAGCGAGTCGTCCATCAGATCGTCTCGGTCGTCCGGGTTGCGGCTCCGCTGATCGTGTATTTCGTGATCATCTTTTTCCTGACTCTCATGATTACAAAGCGTCTGGGATTCGGATACAAGCTGTCAACCACTCAAAGCTTCACCGCAGCCAGCAACAATTTCGAGTTGGCTATCGCCGTCGCCGTAGCGACGTTCGGCGCCAACAGCGACGAGGCCCTGGCAACGACTGTCGGTCCACTGATTGAAGTGCCGGTTTTGATTTCCTTGGTTTATCTTGTCAGATGGATTGCCGGACGTTGGAACTGGAAAGACTAGGACGGGTCTTGATTGTACCACTTGAGCCATGCGATCTCTGGTACTACGGACTGCATGCCCAGTCCAAACCACGAAGTAGCTGATCCTCCGCGCTCGCGGTCTCATAGACTATCTAGTTAGATGAAACCTGTCTTCACGTGTTAAAGGGACCGCTTGGAAGTCTTTTCTTTTTCGTTCCTCGTTTTCCCAAGTTCATTTTTGACGTTAGGTTCAACTTGCGCACACCTTGCAATCCCGAGTAGCATCCTGCATGCTTCATTCCGCAAGTAACGTAGGACATCTACCGGATTGGAGGTTGACATGGCCGAAAACGGCAATGGTAATGCGGTTTTCGTGGCCCAACACCAGGTGTAACTCCCTCACTCCCATTGGATTTTGAGCGACGTAGGATTGTGCCATCCTATGGGAGTCCTGCCCGTGGTTGTCTGCGCTTTATGGCGGAGGTGATGACTAAGGTGCTTCACCGAACTTCTGCAATTTAACGTTGTCGAGAAATTGCCAGTGTGCCGCAATCCATTGCGTTCTCGCTGTATTCTATATTCTATGGTAGACTAGTCTACAGGTGACTCGGCTTCCCGCATTCCTGAGACCAACGGACCTCTGCTACCTTGATCGTTGGGGAGCGCTTTCCGTTCACTGAAGCGGTCGTTGAACAAGGGGAAGTGGGCTCGCATGATAATCGTATATTTGACGAATTCTCGGCGCAGTCTACCAACCTGTCCCTGTTGCCCCCTGGCATTAGCCTCGAACCGCCTTCATCCGCATCCTGGTCAGTAAATAAGGTGTAGGCCTTTGGCACCGACGACTGGTTAGGGATCGTGAACATTCGCATCCATCGCCCGAGGACGCGAAGGTTATTCACCGTATTGAACGACTGTAACCCGCCAGAGACCATTGCCAATCCCAGAGTACGCCCCTGGGTTGTCCGCACCGAACCCGTACTCAGAGGGATCCAGTCGATCTGATTCTTGAAGACAGCGGTCAGGTTACCGTGTTGTTCAGGTGACACCCAAAAGTGCCCATCACTCCATCGGCTGAGTTCGCGGAGTTCCGGCACCTTTGGATGACTATGCTGCTCATCATCCTTCATGGGCAGATCTTTTGGGTCATAGATTCGCACATCACAGCCGAGTCGCCAAAGGATGCGGGATATTTCAAAAGCCAGAAGTTTGGAGTAAGACCTCAGGAGAGTTAGCTTGTCGCTCTTGGTAGAAGTCCAGATTTCTAACTCACCTCGAGCGAAGGCTGCCGTACAGCACCAGGACTTTAATCCTCTCGCCCGCCATCTTGAGGTCATTGTATGCCATTTCAGTCACTGTTGCAAGTTCCAATCTGCTAATCCAGTCGTGTTCGGTGACGTTGTTAGGGAGAAGGAATGGCCGGTACCTGGATCGAGGGGCTGGGTCGTCAAGCGATGGCGGTATAGAAAGTGATCGATACGCAAATTGAGTACGTCGCTGTGGTCTTATCACCGAGCGCATAGACGCCGTATTATTAAGATCACCGTTCGATGATTTCTCGGGAGTCTGAGTCATCGGAGGATCCTGCGTTTCGGCACAGGTCAGAACATTTTGAGGTATTGTGGCAGCGGGCATCGTATAACGTCGAGGCCTAAAAGCGCTCGCCGAAGAAACACTCAACGAGGAACTTTTGACGCTTGGGGCTAGAACTGGTATCAAGGATATTAGTCTAGAATAGTGCGTCGTAGAAACACGCGCAGACCTGATATCACTTCCCAATCTCATAACACAAGTGATAAAAAGAGGAAACCACGTGGGCCGTCGGCTTACGACGGTTTTCTGTATCTATGCGGCCCGAGACCATCAGTCGGAAAGACTTTTTGCCCTGGGTATTTACTTAGTCACTCACTACTGGGGATTGGTCAGAGCCACCAACAACTGGCATCGCAGGGGCCGGCACGTGACGTAAGTGCGCCATCAGGCGCTGACTTCAAGCTTCGTTGGTTCGCCTTCTCGTTCCTCTGACGGTAAGCGGTTACTATTATCGGCTGCATTTAGTTGTCTACGGATGACGGATTCTCGGATGGCGACAGTAGAAGCTCTTGCTTTGGGCCGGGAGGCCCCAGGCTCTCCTTTTCACTTCTCTTCTGCCACCGAAGGCACTGCGACTCAAATCAACACCACTCCAACTACTCCAACGCGTTCGAACGCGTGTAACGCGTCCACTCCGCGAACTCAACGACGATCCTTACGGCCCAGGAAGCCAACGGAACGCGCGCGCGAGATCGACGAAGGAGCTGTCAGTGACATAGGTGTTGATAGCGAGAACACGGAACATGGACCATAGACGAAAGGTCGTCGTGGTCGACCGCCGAAGGCACCACAGGCGCAAATCCAAATCGAAACACCCACTCTAACCATGGCCCAAGTGCTACAACTGGTCCAAAACATGGTAATGATCTACGAGACGAAAATGGAAGACCACCTGAAGGCGTACGAGAACAAGATGGAGGCATTACTGGAGATATGCCAAAAGAACGTGGAGCGCGTTGTGGCATTGGAAACTCAGAATCAACGTATGATGGAACTGATCAAGAACAGCGCGAATGAACAAGTCAAGATGACACAAAGCTGGGCCCAGGTGGTCGCAGGCACGCCCGCTGCGAATAGTTCTTCGGCCACTACACCGGCGTCACGACCGTCACTTCCCCGAAGCTCGGTGAACCCGGGTAGCTCCGCTTCTCAACCATCGAGCTTATCGCAGTCCGCTATTATAGTCGATCTCAGCCGGACCACCGAACGCGTAAGGGATTTCTCCTAGCTGAAAGATAAAGTCAATGAAGCGCTGAAAAAGTATGAACCGACCCGAGAGGTGACCTGCACGGGGATACAGAGGCGTGCGGGAGAGGAGCATCAGGTCAAGCTCTCTTTCGCATCGGAGGAGATGGCCAAGACAGCACGACAGCACGGCCAGTGGCTCGAAGAGGATCGGTTCGACCAGGCTCGCATGCTCGGGGGACAATGGTACCCGGTCAAGGTTGATCGAGTTCATCGCACCACCCTCAGCCCGGACGGGACGTTGGCAGTATCCAAGGAGGCGATGGAGGCGGTGGCACACGAGAACGGGGTGCAAATTGAACGGATCCGCTGGCTCAGTCGAGGGACGGACAAAATGTATGGATCGGTGGTCGTGTTCCTGACTCACCAGCACGAGGCAGAGGCCCTGTTGGCGAAAGGGATCATGGACGTGGGTGGGGAGATGGCATACACTCGACCTTACGAAAGACGACAAGTCCCCACGAGGTGCTACAAGTGTCACCAATACGGCCACCAGGAAGCTCGGTGCCAGTCGCCCGAAGTAGTGTGTGGCAGATGCGCACAAGCTGGGCATACGGCGCAGGAGTGCACCGCCAACAGTGTGCGATGCGCGGCCTGTCAAGGGCCACACCCGGCGACCGATCGGGCGTGTCCAAGGTATATGGAGCTGCTCCGCCGGTTCAACCCCGTGGAACGTCATGATTAGGCCACTCCGAGTGCTCCAAGCGAACCTGGGAAAAAGGCCGGGGGCACAACATAGCTTGATGAACGACGAAGCATTACAACACCACGGACTCCTTATGATCACGGAACCGGCATGCTTTACCCGCGACGACGGGAGAGTGATCGCCCCACCCTCACATCACTTCAGATGGGAACAAATCCTTCCGACGGAGATAGCGGTGGGAGCGCGGTTTCCAATCCGAACACTCATCTACGCCAGCGCCGAGCTAGGGGCGCGCAGCGTACCAGTCGCATCGTCAGACATAGCCGCGATACAATTCCAGATGGACGGGCGATCATTCCTGGCAATCTCGGTGTATGTGCCACCAGCAGACCCGCGAGCGCTTCAAATCACAGCACGACTGATCAGAGAGGCGGTCAGACAGCATGGAATCGGACGAGAGCTTATCGTCACCGGGGACTTCAACCGACATGACCAACTATGGGGTGGCGACGAGATCGGTGCTTCACCTCGGCAGGGTGAGGCACAGGAGATTCTGGACCTGATGGATGACCTCGATCTACACCTCCTCCTCCCCCGCGGCATGATCACCTACGAGAGCTCGAACGGGAACAGCACCATCGACCTCATTTTCGCAAGTGGTGCTCTGGCCGAAGATCGACTTATCTGCGAACCGCACACCATGGAGCACGGGTCGGATCACATCGCCATCAGCACCACCTTCGCGATTGACGTGCCCCAGGTAAGTGCCCCACCTCGAAAGGTGTTTAAAAGCGCGGATTGGAAACGGATTCGAACGGCCATGGCCCGAGAGGTGGGAACTCTCCCTGAAAGTATAGGGGGCGATGAAGTGGAGGAGCAGTCGACTCGCTTGAATGAGATGGTGCAGAGAGTACTCAGTCAACACGTGCCTATGTCGAAGCCCTCGCCATATACGCGACGATGGTGGAATCTCGATCTAACGAGGCTCCGACAAGAGTATACCCAAGCACGCAACCGGTGTCGAGGCCTGAGGCGGGCCGGCACCAGCGATGAAGAGCTGGAGCGTGTGGCCCGAGAAGCTAAGAAGCGGTTCCACGACACGGTGAAGCGACAAAAAAGATGCCACTGGGAAGAATTTCTACACAATACCGACAACATCTGGAAGGCTGCGAAGTACCTCCAACCAGACGGGGCCGGTGGCTTCCACCGAATTACTGGACTGACGGTCGGAGACCGATTGGTGGAGGATAATCCCCAAATCAGTCAGCTTCTCCTGGACGAGTTCTTCAACAACCGCGTCAGCACGACGAGACCGGAAGACATTCGCGTGGCAGAAGATACCCAGCTCCCTTGGGAGCCATTGACCATGCACGAGGTGAGAGATGCCGTGTTCCGAGCACAACCATACAAGGCACCGGGACTGGACGATATCCCCGCGATCGTCTGGAAGGAATTGTGGCCGATCCTCGGTCGGTGGATCTTTCTCCTCTTTGAAGCGTCATTGAGAACGGGGATTATCCCGCAAGCGTGGAAGCAGGCGAAGATCATACCGCTACGCAAGCCAGACAAACCAGACTACACGAACGCAAAGGCCTATCGGCCCATATCGCTGTTACCCACGCTGGCGAAGGCGTTAGAGTCGGTCATAGCCGAGAGGTTATCCTTCCTGGCCGAGACGTGTTCTCTCCTGCCAAAGAACCAGTTTGGCGCGCGTAAACGCCATTCGACCGTCCAAGCTCTCACGCTTCTGCAAGAGAAGATCTACGACGCATGGCGAGACGGAAAGGTGCTCAGCTTGGTCAGCTTCGATGTCAAAGGGGCATACAACGGCGTCGACCGGAACGTCCTTCTTCGGCGCCTCCGAAGTCGCCAGGTGCCCGAGACTGTAGTGTGTTGGGTGGAATCGTTCTGCTCGAGTCGACAAGCGTGCGTGTTGGTCAATGGTGAGACTTCAGACATGGTGGATCTCCCCCAGGCGGGATTGCCTCAGGGCTCACCACTATCACCTATCCTATTCCTCTTCTTCAATGCGGATCTGGTTCAAACACCCATCAACCGGACTCGAGGGGCCATCGCGTTTGTCGATGACTATAATGCCTGGGTCGTGGGACCCAGCGCGCGGGCGAACGTCGAAAGGCTTCAAGCGGACGTTATACCCCATGCAGAGGTATGGGAGGGTAGCAGCGGGGCGGAGTTTGCACCTGAGAAGACGGCCCTTATCCACTTTTCCCGCACGTGGCGGAGGGTACAGGATGCCGGGCCGCTGCTGATCCGAGGGGTTGCAGTGGCGCCGTCGTCGCAGGTCAAAATCCTGGGAGTGCTCATGGACCAGCAGTTGCGATACACCGCCCACGCCGCACGGATGGCGAAGAGGGGTCTACGCGCTGCACAGGCGTTGCGGAGGCTGCGAGGACTACAACCGAGCATGGCGCGACAGCTGTACACCTCGATGGTGGCACCTGTAGTCGACTACGCGTCGGTAGTGTGGTCCATCCACGCGTCGCCTAAAATGGTGGCGGCGGCTGAACAAGCACAGCGACTGGGTGCCATGGCGGTCACCGCGGGATTCAAGACAGTATCATTGGTCGTGACCGAGGCCGAAGCGGCACTGGAGCCGGTCAATAATCGCTGGGCGAACCAAGTCCGCCGATTCTGGATCGACTTGCACACCTTACCCGCAACACATCCGCTTTGGAGGGTGAAGAAAGCGAGCGAGCAAGAACAGCGGCGTTTTGTGTCTCCCATGCAGACAACCGGGAAGGTGATGGCGGGCCTAGGCGATGAGTGGCTGGAGCGCATTGAGCCATTCTGTATGTCGCCATAGAAAACCCGAGCTAGCGTCAGGATCCTAGGACGAGAGAAAGCTGACGTCGTAGTCAAGAACCCGGACCTGGAGAGGACCGTCTTTACAGGAGCGTCCGGTCGAAACGGCAGAGTGGGAATCGGCGTGGTATACTTGGGCCCTGGGGCAAACCGCATGGTCAGCAAGACCCTCGGATCCACCACGTCGATCAACGCCCACCACGGCGAACTGGTGGCCCTGTACGAGGCCTGCCGCGTGGTGGATCAACGCTAGCTCGATCAGGACACGGACCCAAGAACACCGGTGCGGATCCTCAGCAGAAGCCGCTCTGCACTGGAGGTACTTGCGGAACCACGGCAACAGTCAGGACAATGGATCGTCCGGAGAATATGCGAGTTACTCGGCCGTCTTGCCGCGTCGTGGAAGCCACGGGTGGTCTTCCAATGGATCCCAAGCGAACCCGCGACGCGCGGCAGTGACCTTGCGCACGACTTGGCACGGAGAGCAACACATCCCAACCGCCAGATTCCGGCCGGGACGAAGTTGAAATCGACAGCTAGAAGGAAGCCGAAAGGACCCCATCACGAGTGGAGGAGACAATTCGAGGCACGCCCAGGTGGCCGATACACGAAACAGCTCGATCGAGCTCTCCCTGATCCGCACACGCGCAAGCTCTACGACAAGCTCAAACGCGACGAGGCGCAAATACTGGCTCAACTCCGAACGGGGAAGAACCGACTCAACAGTGGCCTTTACACGATCAAAGCGGTGGACTCGGCTCAGTGTCAATGGTGCAGCCGGACTGAGACGGTCAGACACTTTCTGACGGAATGCACACATTGGACCTCACAGCGCCAGCAACATTTGCAGGCAACCACGGACCGGTGGACCGACGTGTCATTCCTCCTCGGAGGATGGACGAGTGAAAGAGTGGACGGACCGCTCAAGAAATGGAAGCCGAACATGGAAGCAGTCAGAGCGACGATTCGGTTTGCGAAAGCCACTGGTCGATTGAAGCTCGACCCTGCTGAACAAAGGAGATAGCCCTGTCTGAGAATGCAACAAACCTACACTCGACAGTTCCTGTGCCGATGAAAGAGCAGTAACACTCAAGAAGAATAGTCTTGAGGACAGAAGTGTATAGCTCGTAAAGGGACCTCAACAGCCGCGGGTCGGATGCCGCCGAAGGATCAATAGCAGGAAGTACCATGAACCAGGAACTTCGCGTGCAGCCATGTAGAATTAGCTAGTTCCCCATTGGGCTTAGCCCGCCCGGGAGTATGAAAATCAATCAAACGGGGCCAGTGGGGGCCATAAGATTACTCCGCGTTAATAAGGCGAATCTGCCAAGGTCGAACTGGATTATCAATAATAATACCTTCGTGGCCTTTTTCAATTGCGGACGACGACGAGCTTGGTGAGTAAGCACTCCAACAATCCTCCATACGAGCCGACCTGCGTACCCGATCACTTCTTTTGCATGTACCTTCTCAGATCGGCCACCTGGACGCCGAGGTCTTATACGACTAGCGCTTTCTGATTGCCAACAATCACATGATACTCCGTACAGCGAAGGCGTGATCGCGAGACCCCATGTCAACTTCAACTTCGCTAGACTGCGCCCACGCTGGCGGTGACTCCCTTTGCAGGGTACGTCGATGCAGTTACCTTCATGACCCATAGCATAGATGTCGGCTCGAGACGAGAGAAGTTTGCCCTTGCGTGCCCTGGCCGCTATGGGTTTCAAGAGATGGCATTTGTCTATAATGCTTCGTGGGGCGACACAACGGAGCTCAAATGCATCTCGCCGGTGAAGACTGGCTCAACGCTTGGACACCGCAAGAGACGGCATCATTCATTATCCGTGGGAAGGACCTTCTGCGCAAGGAAGTGCCTCTGAAAAACGCTTCGCGGCCATACCGGTCGCAGACACCCAAACACATTATCGCTGGCTCTGTCGATCGGCTCTCCTCCTCCCGTTCCTCCACCTCCTCTTCGCTACCACTCAATTTTGAGCCATCGTGGCGGTGTTCACCCACAACGGCCTGATAGGTCAACACTCGACTCCACCCACGATTGTCACATGTCTGGGGTTCGGCCTCACGAACAATTGACACTTTCATGCATCAGGCTCTCCATCTTCTTCTCGACCAAGGCGAAGCTGTACGGATTTTCGCGCTGCAGCTGTTCCAGTGCGACGGTCGTCAACACAGGGTCCTTCGCCTCCTGCGCCGCTGTAGGCTGTGCCATGAACCAGGTATGGTACGAGATTGGGCCTGGTTTTCCATGGGTCGGCCGGCTTGTCGGGTCAACCAAGAAGTCTTTGTACCGCACGACGAATTGACCGTATGAATGAGGGAGGAGGGGCCAATCCCAGGACAGGAGAGTTGAGAGATAGGCGCAGGTGCCGACGAACATAGGAATGGGCATGTCGATCTGATACCGTCTCTGGAGAGCGCGAAAGACGTGGTACACAAAGAGGCCGTAGGGTACCGAGCGGCGGCTTCGTTTCGAGGACCGCGTGCCGGCCCCTTGCTCCTCGGGGGCGGCTCTTTTGTGCTGGTTTGGAGCTTCAGCTGCGTCACGCCCTTCATCGGAAGTCTGTCATTGTCTAGCTACTGTATCGTGTCGTTCGCGTTGTTCTGGACGTACCGTTCGGCATGCGTCTGGATCGAGAGGCGGCATGTCTTTTGCGTGCGTGGCAGTCTTCCACAGAGTTTTCTCCATTGGCACTTTCCTACTCTAGGGCGCGAGGACGTCCAATTTGTACGGTGATTCCGGCGAACGAGTCGCCCGGCCGTCCCAGATTCACCTGCATGCCCGCTTTGTTTATGAGACACCCAGCTTTGAAGATACCCAGCAGCTCCGAACTTTCTGCGACAGCCTTTCGCACCCGAATTCACATGATTCTTCGGCGATGCTGTCTCAAGTGTACCCGAGACCAAGTGCATTGTCCCTAGGGTCATTGTGGCCATCTTGCGATATCGACGACGGGAACCTGTTGCAACAACAACCTGGTCCTGGTTTAGGCTGGGTTTCGCAACATCTAGGCTACCATGGACACTACGGTCACTGCCTTCACCTTCACACCACGCCGAAAACTACTTTGACCAGGTGAAGCCTGGTTCGGTCTCGATGCTACTTCTCGTGCCGCCTTCTAGGGGTGGTAGTGTTACTTCACAGTCTCCGCAAGGCAGCCCTTACACATTTCACATTTTAACCTTGCTCTCTCACCTCGCGCTGCTACACCACACCTACACGTTCCACAGCTGAGGTCACCCTGGTATATGCATATCGCGACGCACGTCTTTTACCTCACCCACCGAACCACGTACCTCGTCGAATCTCGTACTCTGCACAAATGTGTAAGTCTTTCTCTCTCGACCATGGTCGCATAATTGACGGTGTCGTACAGCTCCCCGACAGGCGAAACCCACAGGCCGTGGTCGGGTCCGCAAACGAATGGTCCGGTCGCACAATCATATCATGCACAAGGTGCTCACAGGCGGCGATGATCAGATGTCCGCATCAACAAGTACACCCGCGACGCTCTCCCACACTCAAGATCATCCATCTCCCGCTGACAATATCACCCGGGACCGGTTCGCCAGTCAGCACGCCGAACCAGCGATCGGCGACCACACCTCGTCAGGCACACCCACCGTCGAGACTGCCACATCCGCCATATCCTCGCAGCAAGATGCCATCAACCTGTCGCGGTGGCGGAAACGCTGGAGGTGCCTACTCCGGGATCTGGATACGCCGCGGAAGAATTTCATCAAGACACAGAAGGTTCCCAGTGAGTCCTCGTTGCGTGGACACCTCTCAGCAGAATTCCGTGACAAGGTTGGACATTCGCACTTTGAGACGATATGCCAATGGCTGGACCTGGTGGAGGTCATTGAAGAAAGCCTCGTCCAGTTGCAATCGAGGGATAGGGATGCCGGTGGGGAAAGGGAGGTGGCACAAGCCTCTGACACTGCAGAAAAGCATAGACAACTACGAGGTACGCAGGCCTCGACTGTGGTCAAGGTCTTCAAGGAGCGGAGGAGCATGTGGCCTACGGTGCGGACGACGATCTGTGAGATCTTGGGACTTGAAGAAGGGCAGATGGACAGGGAAATGTTCGACCTCGTGGTCCAACCACCGGTCCACAAGACTGCCGGGAGGGGTGTCCACCACCGTTGATCTTCAGGACTGGTCCCGGGTCGTGGAGAAGGGGCGTGGGTTGGACGCCTGGGGAGAATGTTTCCAACGCGCAAGCACAGCGCTCCTGTCCGCGGTCTCTGTGTGAGGGAACAAGATATCCCGGCTTCTACTCGTCGACGTACACTTCGTCCCCATCCGATGGTTGGTCTTGCTGTGCCTCGCTGTGCCGTCATACCCTTGATCTACGTACTCTTTCGTCTAGGATAGCCAACGATCACTAAACAAAGACTATTTCTCGACCTGCACTCATTATCGACCCCCTGTTTCCTCGTCCGCCTATTGGGTAAGAGTACTACCATAATACCATTCGAGGTAGCCCGATCCCATACTTCTAGGATAGTAGAGCAGAATCCCCAGATCACTTTATATTCTAGCATCGACATCGAACCCGAGATCCTCTTACTATACCTTGCAAAACTTTGGAAATTTGGAAATTTGTTAAGTTTACCGAGGATATCAACAACACCACCACTACACACAAATAGCGGTAAGAGTAATTACGCATTTTACTTAACGATAACCTATATAATTATATATTTATTTAATACTAGTATAATCGTCTCTCTATACGCTCTCTATTAATATAAATATCGTTATATATATTGTTATAGTTATAATAGCGACGAACTATAAGTACTCGCCTATAGTTAAAGAGACGATAGAACTTATACTTAATATAACTATCTTATAAAAGAAGATTAATCTTAAGTATAATATCTTTAAGAGCTATATTAATAAGATTAAGACTAAAAAATAATCTTAGTAAAAAGATACTATAGTATTACTTTAGTATATATTAAATATTTTCTTTTCTACTAAATTTGTTTAATCTAGTGTACTTAACTTTATACTAAAATCTTTATTCTATAATTCTAAATATACTAAAGAATATAGTAATAATATACTATAAAAATAATTAAAGAAAATAATAAAAAAATAATAAAATAAGCTAATAAAAAAAAGTCTAAGGTATGCTACTATAATACTAAGTCTAGCACAGCTGGTGTTGCTAACCACCGATACCACCAAATTAGGGAGACGTATCTCTCAGGCAGCGAACGCGGGAAAAGAGTGCAGAAGGAGTTCGAAGTTCAGAACGTTTGCAGCTACAGAACTAGATCACAAAAAATATTACAATGCTCACCGACACTTCAGTTCATCGTTTTCAGAAGCCGTGCCTGTACCATACGTTATCTCCAAATACTAACGCTGCATAGAATGAGAGATTCTCACTATTTGTGATCTATGTAAATTCCTACTCAAGTGGCGCAGTCTCCCCTTGTTCACAGAATCTTCACCCCTGTGCGACTTTCATAACCGTTGTAACCTACGCCTCGTAAGTTCCACCGGCTTCTGTGCTCTGTCTGCGAATTCCCGCCCTCATCTGTCGCCCTGCTAAAGATACGCACCCCATCTCCCGGGTCGACTCGAACAACTGCCTCCCAAAGCACCCAACTCCACTTCTGTTTAAACCCAAGCCTAGCTTCCGTCCAGCTAGCACCGTCGTCGCAACTTACCTCTACTTTGACCACAGGGCCGTGTTCCCCTTGCGGAACTGCATATCCTTTGATCGTAATCGTTCCCTCATCGGAACGCTCGATTGTGTCATCGTCATTTGGAACGATGACCACCGAATTGATGACATTCTCCATCATTGGCGGCACTGTCTCCCAAAACTTGGCTGCTGATTCCGTATCCGTTGCATCGGGAGGCAGGACCTTGTAATCACGCTGTTGGTAAAAGTTGGAAGTCTCTGTCTCAGCCACAGTGATCCTATCTATCCACTTCACACTCCTCGCCCCGATGATGCCTGGTATGATGGCGCGTACGGGGAAACCATGGTTACCTGGTAGAGGTTCTCCGTTCATCTAATGACATTAGTATGTGCTCTGGGGGGAACGCGGTAACACACCTTCAAAGCTAAAACTGCCTCCCTTCCCTCGTCCAGCGCCATAGCCAAAGGAATACTTGAGCCATACCACTCATCGTCTTGTACCTTCGTCCGAGTACTCGCTAAATGCACATGCAGATCCGTATTCTGACCATCTTGCACTCCTGCCCGTATCAAAATATCTCGTAGTAGCGGACCAGTCCATTGTGCGTTCAGGATGGCAGCATCGAACCAATCGATGCCTTGCACTTCTTTTATTCTTGTTCGCATCGAGTGACGTCTATTGCCCGCACATTGCAGAGCACAGGTGACGGTGTGCTGAGAGAAATTTTCTTTCAGCTCGGTCATGGACAAGTTGAGCGCCTGTGCGACGAGGCCGTCCACGACGACTCGGTGATTTTCGATCGAAAGATGCAGTATGGGACCATGATTACGGTCATAGCATGCATCCCCAATTGGTGTTAAGAAACTGCCATGAAATCAGCATATTCAGCTTAATTAAACTGTGGGAAAGTAATGCAATCTGTACGTACTTAGCGATTAAAGTCTGTGGCTTCGGTTCTCTATTAATTGGCTCATTGACCGAGCCCTCTCCTTGTTTCTGCATTAGGTGCAACTATGTAAGGTGCAGTCTTTCGTTTCCCCCAGCTAAGTTAGCTTACCGTTGCGTAAAGCCCGAACCCACGGCCTATTCGATTCCTAGGAGAAAACAAATGGCCGCGGAAACCACTTCATATAAAACGCATTCGTCTGTGACTTTCTTACGACAATCTCCTTCCCTAAACGCCAAATGACGCACGTGGACCAACGATCCTCCCCTCCCGAAATTGCCGGTCAATAATTAAGTCATGCTATTCCGCCATCCAATCATTAGGATGTATCCCTGCAGCAGACTCTTCAAAGGTTCTGTAGGTGACGCCATCTACTCGTCGCTACCCATCTACCGGTCGCGTACAGTGCGTCATTTCACTCTAGAAAGAGGCCTATGCTAACGAAGTGCGAAATTCTCGAGTTTACAGCTGTCACATTTCCCCTTTAGTGTCTCAATAAAATTCTCTAACACCAAGCGCACCCTTCAGCGGCTTTATATATTGTGTGAATTCTGCAACCAGAACATAGACACTCTCGATAACTATATGCCTATATCTTCCGCGTCCGAAGAAGAAAATGGCTCGGCTCCTCAACTGCCACCCGACAATCTCCCGAAACGCCTTTGTTTTACTCACCTAGACGAGGACCTCGCTCCGGGCCTCCTTCTCGAGACTGAGCTCATGATCCTCTCCCTTGCTGCCGGCATCAATGACGCAACGACTTTCCCTGAATACCGTGTCTTCGCCTCCAACCAGACGGGCAACACCGCCTTGTTGGCAGTCGGTGCACTCGCTCTTGCGCCTGAAGCAGTCGATCTGCCCAACGTCGCTATCAGCTTGAGTCTGTTCGTCATCGGTGGCACATTCCTAGGTCAGCTCGGTCATATCGTGGGTCGTACAAAACGGTCGTGGTTGATCACGACAAACGTCTTGCAGACGTGTCTCGTCTTTGTGGCTGCTGCTCTTCGACATTGGGTTTCAACCTCCAAGCACTCTCCCTACCGCTATTTCGTTATCTCGCTGCTCGCATTCGCTTCGGGAGGACAGGTTGCAATGGCACGTACAGTCAACGTACCGGAGATCACAACCGCCATGGTCACATCGGCGTACATTGATTTCTTCGTGGATCCGAAGCTCCTAATGAGAAAGAACAGGTCACGGGACCGAAGATTGTTTTTCGTTTTAGCGTTGCTGATAGGCAGTTTCATCGGTGCTGCGGGATACCAGAAGGTGTCGGCGTCTTTTTCATTGCTATTGGTCGGTCTGTGTAAGCTAGGGGTTTGCGTATTATTGTTGTTCAACCGGGCGGTTACTCCAGCGGAGGAACGAAGGGAGGGAACAGATCCCATTCCGCAGGCCGCGCACTCGGCCTAATCCGCAGGCAGAGTAAGAGAACACAGACGTCATGATGAATGGAGATATACTGGAGATTGCGGGTATTGCTGCGCTGCACACGGCTTTTGTGGAACGGGTCACAAATTTTGCGCTCTTCCGCGAATCAGGGCACATCCAAATGCAACATACGCAAGGGTCAGCGAGTGACATCACAACAAAAGGTGACATGCACGACCGCATAATGAGAATTCCCAAACTAACAGGTAAAGTCGGATGTGCTCAACAATAAATCTATTCTCGCTCGAAAACTTCAAGTTAGTAGGTTCGGGTGGCAGATCCCGACTCAGAAGACCTGCACCTTTGCTTCTTCTTCACAATCCGAGCTCATTTTCTAATTTTCAAGATGAGTTCTTCGCAAACTTATTATGAGTCGACGGCATTGATGGTTATTTCGTCCGTATCCATCGATCTCGGCCCTCCCACCCTTCGAGGTGTCACGCCTCACGATCAGATTTTCCCTACTCGCCGTTATTATCGAACTCACTTCCACCCCCAGAGTATGGGCTCCCGAAGACTGAAAACACCAGCACCTCCCTCGAGTCGATCTCCAACACCAGAGCAGAAAGACAAGCCGAATGGTTATCGCCTGTCCTCCGGCCCCTACAAAGCAAGGAAAATGCTTCCACATGACCGCCATCCGATGGGCACTCACACAAGATCGCGTTCGATACCCATTTTTTGACCTAGGACAACCACCATTGAGTGACGAAACCTAAACACCCAAGATCCTCAGGGGAAGGTGTCAAATATATTGAGGAGCATATCTTCGTCGTAGATGAGCAAGTGGATGAACATTAGCTGCAGGTGGCGCTGGGGATGAAAAGGTGGCGATATGGGCTGATGCCCTGTGGAGATGTGTGATGGGCCTCATGTCCGATGGCCAAGAGCCCGACGGGGCACGGTGAGCAAAGGAAACAAGAGAGAAGGAGTAGCCTCTAGGGATTCACAGATTGGAGACGGCACGAAACTGCTCAGAATGCAAAGCGTCTCCCACCCACGGCATGTGTTCACACGCAAGGAATGGGCAGAGGGACTGTAAGGTCGCTCGTACAGGATGTAGACCTCCCGGTTGCACATGTTCGGAAGATTGTGTCAAAGGAAGTAAGGATCAATGTCAAAATGAGATGCTGCTGTATTCATGTCGAGATTCCAAAGATCGTCCTCTTCTTAGAGAGGCAGGGGCTCTCCATGATTTCAATCGTGTGCACGCCCCCAGGAAATGCTGGGGCCGTAGGACGGAGGAGCTTGAGCTTTTACATCAACTTCCCTATCGCCACATAGTCGAGGAAATTGTGCGGAGGCGCAATAAGCCCACCGGCTGTCCGTTTACTAAGAAAAGACCCGTCTATTGATGAGTACTGGCACTTAGCAGGGCTGCCGCGCATCGAGAATTGAATTCGCTCGCTTCTTCTTCTAGTATATAGACATTCTCATCAAACTAAATCGCTTCCAGCCATGACTATATACCGCCGTCAAAATCTATTCGACGATGTTCGAAAATTGTTCTAAATATCTTCCTTGCATGACCTCCCACGCTGTCTCTCTATTCACTATAGTATTTGCCATTGCGTTTCGCTTTCTCGTGATATCTATGACGAATCTTGACTAGAGATTGTTCTAATCACTGTCGCTAGCCAGCGAGATAACATCTGTATCTTCATTGTCACTCCACGGCTAACTGGGGCCTCAATACCCGGCTCAAGGTAGCTGCCCCGCACATCAGTCTCGCTGACACTCAGTTTGCATAGGGACAGCTTGGAACGGGTTCGTCAGTCGAGTGGTCGTCCATTGGTTGCCGTAGCATATAGTCAGGCACTCTCTGCAGAAGCAGTGACCGCATGGTACCATAACATTTTTGAAGCTGTCCATGCAGATATCGCACCGTAGATGGTTGACCTTTTCCAAATCCTCGCGCGCCGCTTCCAGATGACTGACCAGCTTTCGGTTTCGGAGGCGCTGCACCCTGTTTTCGTGTTTATACTGTCGCAATCTGTTGGTCTGCTATCGAAGCTTATTTCGTGCGGTCTCGGCGGATTTTTGGTGTTGTGACAACTGATGTTGATGTCGAGTGGTGAGAAGGTCTATCTCGGCACGTTTGGAGAGCAATTCAGTCTTTAGTTTGTCGCGCCTGCCTTACCACTAAGGCAAACTTATTCCTCATGTCACAGGCACCATCCAAAGCCGATTAATACTCATCCTGAATGTCGCAATCAGCATCATTGAGAAATTGGTTGGGGTCGAGCTTCGATCGTGCCTTGGGCATACTGGGAGGATAGTGATGCGACACTAAGAGTTGGGAAAGGAAGAGCGAGGGCGACGTTCGGGCCACAGGAGCGAGCGGGCTTTTATAATTTGATAGCCCGTCAGTTCCGTAGCAGCCATCCTAGCCTGGTGGTTCCGTCCACTTTCTCCTTCTGCCTAGGTCGACTTCCCAGGATGAAAGCAAATCGTCGTGCCCGGCGCCCCTTGATGACGTATATGACGGCAAGAGAGCAGACAGGGTCTGACCTGGTGCAGTCTCTGGAGTATCTGGACAGCCGAGAACTTGACACCATCCAGCAGGAACGAAGTGAGCAGTGGCACGGCCAAAGGTGAGAATGCATAGGTGTGGCGGGTGGTATTCCTTCGCAAGCTATGTTTCTGGGGCTTGGGCTTATGGTAAACTGGAAGCCGGTACGGCTAGCATCCACCGGAAATCGGTCGTGACGGTAGGGTCTCGCTATGCTGGCGGAGGCAACGTCCTTGAAAGGTGATCGTCGGCGTGTATCCGCGTTCGGCCGATCGTTCTCTGCTCTTCCTATTAGTCTGTTTGCAATTTTAGCCCTAAACACATCGATGTCGGCTACCACCACCCTACGCTCAAGGTCGCCATTCTGAGGTAGCCCGACACCCGGAAAGCTAAGTCGTTGGTTGTTAGTATTTGGAGTGAGGAGACCAATTTTTGAAGGAAAGCGGTTTTCGATTCAATAGCTCGACAGGTATCTAGCAACCCATTCCAAATTCGGGGTTAAGACCTAGACCCTAGTTAGGCTGTGCACTCACAACATGTTGTAGATGGGAACTGTCTGTTAAGGGAGCAAGCTGCTCCTTGGGCCAGAATACAAAGGCTCCACGTGAAATCAAGTTCACTGCACCCAGAAACGCTTCATAGCGCCCAGTTACCATTACCTTTTGAACAATTGGCTGAAGTCCGCCAATACGCACTTCTAGACGGTCGAGTCTCAATGATCCAGACCAATACAGTATTCGAGTTTGCAGATCAACACCGACCCTGATTTCAGAAGGCTGCAGGGAAGGACCTTGAGTTGAAGCTCTCCAACAGTGAGCAGTGAATATTCGAGATTCCGAATGCCGTGAGGGGTTTGACCGAACCATAGACGCAGGGGATAGGCGAAGAGTCAGTAAGCCCGACTTTGAGCGGGATTGTTCAGAGCCACCAATCCAGTCCCCGATAACACAGTCTGACCAGCATTGAACTGGAGTAGCCGTCCAGGCGAGAAGCTTCAAATCAGAACGAGTTAAGATCACACGGTGGCAATACGCTGCGCCTTGTATCTGATTCACCGGGATTGGCGTTGGATCGCCCGGTGGATGTGTATACTGAAGGGCCATATAGACCCGATCGATAGTATCCGTCCTTGTTTCGGGATCATAATAGGTAGTACTTTCAACATATGGCGTGATCGTAGAAAATATCCACCGGTTGTTAAGGGGTCTACATCCTTGAAGAAGATTAAGTGCTGTATCCCAGCTCTCGAGTCGGATCATTTCATGAGGGTCCAGGTCCTTGGCTTCATTGGGGAAATTTCTCAAAGCCACCCAGCGTTTTTGAAAGACTCGATGGTAGGGCTCATTAAGTAGAAAGTGAGGGGGATTGAAATGTTCGTGGATGGTAGATTGCCATAGTTGATTCGGCGTAGGCCTCGACGGGCTGAATATGAAAGATACTTTAAGACAGGTGCTTCGTAGTACGATCTTTGTTTGAAGCAGACAATGATCGAAGATCATAACCCACAGCTCTTCAGGTAGGCTTATAATATAGCAGCCCTTATCTTCTATCTTTCGGTCTAGGGGCTTCTTCGAGGGTTTGGCAAGGGAGAGGGATATTCCAGGCATGGCGGAAGGGGGGGTTAAGTAATATAGTTATTATTTATAAGAGTCTTTTATAGATTCTATAGACTATTAATTTATAAAAAAATATATTTTATATTTACTCTTTATTTTAAGATAAGTATATAATAGTTTAATAATAATATATATCTATAGCTAATAGATTTAATACCGTGAAAATATTTATATAGCTAAACTTAAGTACTATTCATAAATATTAAAGCTATTCGCTTAAGAGTAAAATATTCTCGCTAGCTACTTTATTAAGATAAAGGGTATTCTTTTTATATAATATTTCTTTTATAAAGTATATCGTTAATAATATAAATTAAAGCGAAATTAGTATAGCCTTAATAAACAAATCTTTTATAAATTTATTAGATAAATAGTCTTGGTACACATTTCGCTTTGAGCCCTCTTCTTTCCGCAACATGTGACATGGCTTCTCACGGGTATGAGAAGAAAGTCGGCGGCCAATTCGGTCTGCTCGGCTCCAATTCCAACAGTTAGCGATTCTCATCATACAAACAGCTGTCAGTCTAGGAGCCTCAAAGACTAGCGCTCATCTCGCAGCAGCTGTGAAGCCCATCTTCCCCAGTCTGCCTGCAACATTCCTCCACCGCTTCATAGATTCCTACTCCAAGTTCCTGCTGAAAAATATGTAGCCGGAAATCTTACTATGCTGTTTACGAACAGCGTCGGTCATAACCTATAGTCCAGATCATGCTGCCCATTGTAACCACTCAACAAGCCAAGTCAATTGCTACACTAGCCAAGCCATAAGAGGGGGATGGGGGAGGAGGGGTACATCCGTTACTTCGCTTTGCTTGAAAGGTGCGCATTCGTAAGTTCCGCCCCATCGTCATGATATAGACATGATCCTGCTATTAAGGGTTGTTGGACTAGCCGTAAAGATTTGGTTCAGCTAGTTTCACGGCTTAAAGCACTTCTACTCTTGTCCAACTTTCGACGGTCTCCGAATTTTCGATTTGAGTCGATCTGAGAAAGTTCTTTTCTGGTAAAGTTCGACAGCCTTGGTAAGCCACACATATCATAATGCGCGAACGGCAAGCACGGCAGAAGCGGCATTATGTCATACTTACTACTAGTATTAAATGACGTTCAGGCTCAAAGAATCTCCGCTTCTAGAGCACAAATCCTGTCTAGCGCTATTTACTGATCGAGCTCATTAAAAAGACATTAACTGTTCGAAAACCATACCCGCAACCCCAGTTGTGAAAAGATTCATTCCCAGCATCCCGCAATGAAAGATATACTCAAGATTGCTATTCCGTCAGTAGTGGTAACGTACGCTACCTTACAGTATTTCGACCCTCACCAAGTTGGGAAGCATTCAGCGCACATGAGAGAACGCCTACATGGTGAGCAAGTTGTACAAAGTTCCTGCATCTCCAGTTCTGCAACACCTTGCCTGAGCGACAATCGGAAAATTTCAGTCTTGTTTTCTATGTTCCTCTCAGCGTAACAAGTTCCCCTCCCCAGTGTTTTCGTCTTCTTGAGAGAATGAGACTGTGTCTTTTAGGTCAATTCCACTGACGGTGCGTGCGCTCTGGCGTGTGGATTTAGACGAGAACAAACGAATCGGCAGAGCTCATGGCTGCGACGAGATCCATCTTTCGGACCTGGATAAGTGGATTGTCAAATACCCCGAACAGGCCGACCATTGGAAGCGACTCAAGGCCAGCTTCTACCAGTCGAGCGGCGATACTCAAACCGTGCAAGATTGAAGGGCTGTGATCCGCCAATTTGTGGGAATCGCAGCGTCTCGCTCTACGTTTTGTTATTTCAGTACTCCTGAGTCTGCTGGCCAGGTGCTAGAACTTGGGGGAAATGAGAAGCCAACAGGCTTCAAGACCGAAAACTCCGCCGCAGAGTGGAGAACCGTCAAGATGTTGGAAAGGGTCTAGGGCTGGCTTGTGAGGACTCAAGACCATCATCACTGATATATTTGATAGCGCAGGACTGCCCTAGTCTCTGCTTTGCTACTAGAACATATACGTCTTTATGCGTCCTGTCTCTCGGCATCTTTCTGGTGCTGCCGCTCCATCTCCAGGACCGCTTCCTGCCGTTCATAAGACTGCACACACGGAGCGTAGAAGATCTCGCCCTTGAAGACCCCAACCATGGTGAGCGCAAACACCACCAGCCACAGAAGAACCACCGTGAGTGAGAAAACAGTGCCAAGTACGCGGAAGAAACCACTGGGCAGCTCCTTGGCCAGAGTCGTCGTCGACACGCTGTAAACTCCCAACGGGAACGTGAACCCCCACCAACCCATGTTAAACGGGAACTTGCTTCGGCTGATACTGGCGAGGGCGAAGAAGAGCCAGATCAGGCCATAGCCCCAGATGATGAGCGCGAACACCACGCCCAAGTTGTAGAAGGTCGTGCCTGCTTCCGGGTCGATTGTTTTCGTGAGGGGAAACACCCTTTTCGCAACCTTGCCCAGTTGCATGATCGCAAAGCTTCCTTGTCCGATGGGACCGAGAGGCAAAAACACGGAGACGATTACTTCTCGGGCCGGGAGTTTATAGATAGTGAGCCGGTGGAAATAAATGACTAGGACGACCATGGCCAGGGGAAAACCCGTGCCCCATAGGACGTAAGATACCATGATCGTCCAGAGCTGATGTTGTTGGCTTGGGAGGATTTCCGCCACGATACCGCCGGTCGCTGCTGCGACGATTGTCGAGACGATAGGTAGCAGCCAGACCGCCGTCATCTGTGAGAGCTCGCTGTCGTGCTTGTACATGACAACGAAAGGGAGGTAGAAGCACGTCATGACGGCGATGACAGCGTCAATCCACCAAAGTGTCCAAGCCAGAGTCGTTGCCCAAGGGCCCCACGCCGGCACACATACAAAAACCACCATGTTGACGATCGTGGCCAAGCCCATGGGAAAAGTACCAGTGAACAGAGACTGGACAGGGTGGCCGATCATGAATTGAAACAATCCTCGAAAGTAGGTGTATCTCAAGATGGAAATCGCCAGGAAGATGGTGAACAACGTTACGTTGAGACAGAATACGACGACAGAGATCCAGTACAGCCAGGTGCCGTTGTAGGGGAGATTGTGAAGGAGGATTGAAACGATGCCGGTGCCCATGATGACGGCGAACCACGAGGGAGTGAAGTTCACAACCACTCGACGCCAGCCATGGTTGTTTCGTTTGTCGATGACTTTTTCGAAATCTTCTACTGCGGCCGAGCTGGCAGGGTGGTCGCAGCATTGATTTGCATTGGAAGCATTCTGTCCGCAAGATTCGGTGTTTGCTCCTGATGGGTCCATCGCTGCTATTGAGACTCGATTTCAGGACTCGAATGTTGCAAGCTGAAAATAAGTAGTGGCTGCTGGCTCCAAACTGAAGCCTCAGTTGCCGGATTTTTCGACTGATAGGTAAGTGTCAAACAGCAAATAGGGCCTTTTGGGAGGGCCTTGAGATGGGTGGAAAGGCATAAGGATTGTAGAAGTATGATCAAATATCGTAGACAGACGCCTCTATATATGCCTTGAGGCACTGCGCACCAAAAGAGGGCTTCACAGGAATCTACAAAGTGGTGGTGCTTAGGCGTCATCAGCTGTCCAATGACGTCGGCGCTCTGCCGGATACGCTAGAAGTGCGGAAAGGGCTATGCTCTCGGTCTAGGTACACGTCATGCCTTCTGGAGACATCTTGTACTCGCCAATGATCGATTTTAGCCAGGCATAGTTGACCAGGTCCGGCACCGCAACGCCTGGTTGGCGGGACTCTTTCGTCTGAGCGCAGGGGTCATCCTACTGCCCCTTATAGCTAGTTCGCTCCCGAAAAGCAACTCGCTTAGATCCTTTTTTAGTTACGGAAAGAGCGACTCAAACAGCACCATAATCTCCTTACTTCGAGGTGTGTCGACAGCCGCCCACGCCCAGTCTCGCGCTGTCTCCGGCTCGATTTTGACCAGATGATGCGCGAGGACCGGAATCTCCCACCGTCGGAGCTCGGCCTTTGTGAGTGCAGTAAGATTCCTGTTCATAAATTCTTCCAGCCGTCCGGAGGGATAGTCTGGACCTATTATTTAGGATGGCCGGATCATGTTAGCCTGCTCATGAGATATCGGCTCTAACACCGACTCCAGTGCGCAGCATGACTTTGTTTTGTCGAGACTGCCACTGACGGAGCGGCTGTCCAACTGGAAGTCTAAGTGATAAAGTCCCGATTGTATGGCGTCGATGCGTCTCCGGCCTGCCGGACCGTGCTTACCGAGCTGGCTATCTTTTATCTAGTTTTCACGGCAACGAAAATAGACCTCCAGTTTCATATTCAGAGGGTTGAAGAAAACGGTTATGCTATTTACAGCTGTTTTGACACGCGTTGTTTTAGATTACCGCATAGCCTCACCAAAACTTGGGGCGTTGCGTCGAAGTCTGCAGCTATCTTGGAAGAGGATTGCTCACGCCATCTCACCGTCTTCACCATTCTCACGGTCTCGCTCAAAATCCCATCCTAGACTCGACCAGTTATATCAGCCAGGGATGCCTGTTACGGAGGTTGTGATTGTTCGTCACGCACATCGGCAGACATGGATCGTCGATACGATCGATCGCGAATACCGGCCTGCGCAATCGAATCCCACCGGAATTGCGACCGATCCCGCGTTAACTGAGCATGGCATCAAACAGAGCGAGGAAGTTGGAGTTGCAATGGAAAAGCTGTTGCGACAGAACCAGCCCGGTCATCGAATCGCAATCTTTTCGAGCCCGTTCTACCGCTGCCTGCAAACGATTGCTCCAACTGTTGCCCGTATGCGTCGACAAGGCTGGGGTGGGTTTGTACATATCGAGGCGGGCTTCGGGGAATGGTTCGGTACCGCCCCTTTCAATCACCCTGCTCCATTGGATCCTGCGAACATGCATGCAAAGTTTTTTGACTTCGTGCACCCAACCTATCAGAGTCAAGCACAGGCACCCAGCGGTCCCGAACCGTACCAAGACCTGCGACGGCGTGTGCAGAAGGCATTGCACTCTAGCATCTCGAAAGTTGAAACTGATGCTGTTGCCGAGGGGAAGAAAGATGCCAAAATCACCTTGGTGATCGTCTGCCATACTGCCCCAGTTATCATGCTAGGACGATGCTTGACAAACTCTTGGCCGGTCGACGTGGGAACAGATGAGTTCAAATGTTTCCTAGCAGGAATATCGAAATACCAAAGATATGAAACGAAGGCCACAATAACGACGACGCCTTCAGGTCACCCAATCACAAATAATCAGGTGGCTTGGTGGCAGGGACAGCCAGGCCACCCAGAAGGATGGGAGGTTTCCATGAACTCTGATTGCTCGCACCTGTCTGCCGGACCAGAAGGTGGCTGGCATTTCGGTTCTGAGCATGTGCAGGACCAGCGCATAGTCAGGGGCGAGGATGGTCACAGGATATTCACGAACAACTTCAAATTGGAATGAGTCAGTCAAAGTATGCTTTATGAGATTCATCAGTTGTTGATCCAGGGCGGGAGAGAAAAGGGGGGTGGGGGGGTGGGGGAGGAGGGGGTGCGTCCGTTGCTTTGAAAGGAGCGCATTCGTTGCAGAACTTGAAGCGTGGCTCCGGTGGCGGCTATTGGCGCAAGGAGAAACTCTGGATCAATAATTTAGCGAGAGCCTAATCAGTGACGCAGGTGTGTTGCGCGAGGAACTCGACGGTGAGAGCAAGCGAGTGATTGGCACCGCACTACAGAGGCGATGGAGGCACAGCCACGAGGAATCGTTGGGCATGGAGATCAGGAGAACGGCAAGCCTTCCACGAAGAATACGCATGATTTTGTACCTGGGGATGGTGTCAGTTGCCATCGTCGTTGCGCAGTTTTTCATTCTGCGCGAACAGCAGCGCCACATCGGGATTGCCTGTGCAGTGGTCATGACCTGCGGTGGCATCCTTCTCAGCTTGATTGGCATGCTTCGCTACCTACAGCAATGTCGAGGACTCGTTCAGAAAGATTCGAGTACTACGAGTGGCCGTGCCTTCGTTGGAACGCTGTTCATCTTTGTGAGTGGCCTAGTCGTCGGTATCGTGTGTTGTGGGCTGCTTGTCTTGATCCTGGCTGTAGGGTAAATTAGATGCCTGAGCACACGACTACGCCGGTGGATAGGATCAATGGCCATTCTATTCTTCTAGGAAGTTGTGGAGCGAGCCGGGTCCCGCATTGGCTGCAAGCAAAGTTCGAATATTATTTTGGGGCGATGAGGAAACGAGTTGAAATCACTGCGTCGCCGACAGATTTTCCGGGAGACCTTGCTCACGCCTCGTCACGCCAGCGCGAACGGGGTCCTGGATCGCTGCTGAGGGCCTGCGACGAATCAAAAGGCAGTCTCTGCCAGTACCACTTCGACATCCCCGTTCTCGGCTATAACGGACCGGGCGGGAGCGTATTGGATACCACTGTTTAGACATCGACAGGCGCGGCACCGCGGGATCTGCGTCATTGAGGCCCCGAGCGTCTAGACCGAGTCCACTGAATGTCACTGTCCACCTATCATATTGTTTGCAGATCATTGATCGGCCAAGTCGATGCGCGCCGGAAGTGCGGTGATGATATCAGGCCATCCATGAAAGCCTGGCGTCGTTAAGGCCCTTGGAATTGGTTCCACACGCCGACAACCACGATCACTATGTGCAGGTGGTGCCGTCGTCGACACTTTGTCACCACAGAGAAAGAGGACTCGAGTTCGCGAGTTTGTGACGCATGCCGCGCAAAGAAATCCAAGTGTAATGGAAAAACGCCGTGTTCTTTATGTGTGGAGGGCGACCGAGGTTTCTTTCATGGAATGGCAACGCATTGAGGAACGACTCCTGTGAGGCTAATGAAATCACCAGACTGTACTTATGACCAGCCACGGTGCGCGCGAACATCGACAGCCGACTATTTTCGGGAGCTAGAGAGCAACATCGCCGCTTGACTGAGCTTGTCAGCCAATTCACCCAAGCTGACGAGGTTGGGCTTGACTCTACTGATTGGCACCGGTCTTCACTCATTTCATCTTCCTCTGGTGGTGCGATCGATATCCGCGACAACGCCACTGCTGAGGATCATGTGCAAACCATGATGGACGGCGTCGGCCAGTTACAGCAGGACGGGAAGGGAAGCTACAGCTACCATGGTTACTATGCCGGTCTTACGCTCCTTAAACGTGTTCACGAATGCTGTCGAGGCCTGATGCCAAGTATGTCGCCAGATACTGTGCCTGATATCACGCAGATTTTCGACCAATCAGTCCCTTTCTGCAGACAACCCCCGACCGTGCGGTTGACTCTGCCAGAAAAGGCAGTCGCCAAATGTCTCACCTCAGTTGCCTTGAATTATGCCTCTTGTCTTATGACATTTGTCGATGCACCGACCTTTTGACATCATGTCCGAGCGCATATACAATATCGAGCAGGAGCTTTACTCCGAGGCTGAAATCAGATTTCTTGCTCTGTTGTATGCCTCACTGGCGGTGGGCGCGTTATTCACGTCCACTCAAAATGACATGAAAGAAGAAGGCACATCTCAGTAAGACTTTCCAGAGGATTTTGCTTTCTTGACTAACCATCCAGGAGCTACACTCATTTTCTGATGGCCCACAGCATGATTGACCCTGAACAGTGCAGAGATCTTACCACATTGCAAGCAATCTTATTCATCATCATATACTTGCAGGCGTCGGGGCGATTGTCAGATTGCTACTCGTACTTAAAACTCCGAGTAACCAGCCTGTTCAGATATCCCTTTCCATAAGAGCTTCTTGCTGGACGTGAGAACGAGCCACAGAGAACTATAATATATAGAACTCTTGGTGCTATAGGCTAACTCTCAACTCCCCGCCTACCGACACAGTAAGGAATCAAAATTCTTTGCGTTTCTTCCGCGAAAAAGCACCGTGAAAACAAACCGTGGAACTTTGTACTGACGCGTAATTACGAACACGGAGTCTCCCGTGTACCTAGGCCTACGCCTTAGGCTCTGTGCGGAAGTATAGCAACACTTGGCGCAGGATTCACATTTTCGAGCATGCTGGGTTCTCTTGACGAACCACCATCTCATTCTCGATTCGACAAGAAGCAAGTTCGAAGACTACTCGCCATTAGTTGGCTCATGTTCGTCCTCTCGCTTGCTTACTCTGCAATGGCAGCAGTGCTCCTGTCATTTCACAGGAACCTGTTCGCTGATTTATATGACTCAAAATCACGGAAAGAGCATTTCGGGCTATGGATTGTGGTTGCAGGGCAACAACTGCTCATCTTAGCTGCGTTCGCAGTAAGCGCTCCAGCTGTCATGGCCTACATTGAAGACGTTGGGATAGCTGGAGAGTGTATTTGAAAAAGAACGACGGACTGAGCAACGCGACGAACGTGCAAGCGGTGGACGGGAAGCAGGAAATGTTTGATATGTTCTGTGGAGCTTCTATTCGCAATTATTGATTAGGCTCGACGATAGCCTCAACCTCTAGTTCCACCTTTTCCCTTCTACTTATTCCCTTAGATCCGGTACTAGAAATGAGCCTGTCTTCAGGTAGATCAGCGCGCGCCAGTAGCTTGCTATCTGGCGAGAAAATTATGGCGCTAACATGACCTGAATGGCCGGAAAAGGTTCTGAGTAGTGCTCCATCGATAATTGTCCAACACACACACCTGCCAGTGATCGCCGATGCGGACACTGGATTCGGTGGACCTCTCAATATCCGACGCACAGTAGAGCTATATGAGCACGCAGGCGTTGCTGGTCTGCATATCGAAGACCAGGTGTTCCCAAAACGTTGTGGTCAGCTCAAGGGTAAGGACGTTGTCGATTTGCAGGTGTATCTCGAACGTGTCAGGAGCGCCGTTGAGGCGAGGACTGAAACAGACTTTTTGATTATCGCACGAACCGACGCAAGACAAGCTAAGCACCTCGGTGGGTCGGAAGCGGGCAAGGAGGCTTTCCATGAGGGTGTCCTGAGACTGAAGGCCGCGCTGGATGTAGGCGCAGATATGGCTTTCATGGAAAGCCCACGTACAGAAGAGGAGTGCAAGGAATTGGTAAAGGCATGCGCGCCAAAGCCAGTGCTTATCAATGTCCTGCCACATGTGAGTACATATCGTGATCTAGGACGCTCCCGACCGATCCACATTCTGACAAGCACTCCAGGGACTTACGCCGGATTGTACAACTGCAGATTGTGAGCGTCTGGGCTTTGCTGCCGCAATCTACCCTTGTACAGGTTTCATTCCAGCAATGCTTGCCATGCAACGCTCGTATAATGGCCTGCGGAAGGAAGGCTCTGATCTCAAATATTGTGGAAACAATCGAATCCAGAATTTCTTCGAGCAAGTGGGGCTCCGGGAGGCTTTCGACTTCGACGCTAGAATCGAGAAGTTCTCAAAGAAGGAAGTCGAGCAGGCATGCTCCCATGATGAGAGTTGAATTGTAGGTACTTGGTCGTCTTCGTTCTCGGGCTTCATATGGAGGACTACTCATGTATATGATACCAAACAGCTTGCGGGAAACTCGCGTCTTTTTGATGCAAAAATATTGATTTCTATTGCACCTCCATAGGTCTAGACATCTTAAGACCGCCTACTGACCATTGCATTCGTTTTTGATTTCGTCGGCGGTACATGCTCCGAGCTGTATACTTAATCGCTGAGTAGTTGCCCTGGATTTGTTGTCTTTCACCAGCACGCCCCCTGTTCCGAACAGGGAGGACCACCAACCATGAGCACCAACTTTACTCTATCGGCGCACAATGTGCTGTCAAGCCCGATGTTGTCAACGGAAAGATTGTCGATGTTGCACAAACAATTCGGGTTCAGGACTTTACTATGCCATTTGCGCAGTCATGGGCACCGTTGCCCTAGATGTCTGGCGCGCCGCCAAAGAACATGAGTATATTCGTTCCTTGAGGTCGCAGATTAGGAGAGATTATTCTGATCTTGCAAGATCTGCTGAAATTCAGAAGCAATATAGCTCCACCGAATGGGACTTCTGCTTACAGCTGCTTGGCAATGATGAGACCAGAAGTGATCTCAACCGACTAGCTTCGCGGGAATTGGAAAACGACGGAGGAATCCAAGCAGTTCTCGGGTGTTCGGTGATTACTGGTTGCCAAGTGAAATATCTCGAACTTGCTGCTGGTTGGCTTGATTTGAAGGAGGAATAGATCGTCCTCACCAGCCGAGATATGCGAGTTCGCGAGAATGACATCCCCAGCAGCAGTTGAAACGGTCGCCTTTGAAGTCCTGATGTCCAGGATGGATCTCTTTTTTGAGATTCTCAGCTCAATGCCTTGCTTAATTAACCTTTTCTATAGAGTCTTCACTGGGGTGTGACATTGACCAACTGGGTGATTAAGGTCATTGACGAAGGTTATCCCGGTATTGGGGTTGGATACGGTGGTTTGGAGTGAGAGTGAGTCAATGGGTGGTATCATAGAAGCACGCGTCAAGCAAATCATCAGAGAAACCGACGGGAAGCTTTGCTTGAACTGTAATGACTGTACGTACGAAGGATGATAGGGCCGGGGGACGCGGCGATCAATACAGCCATCATCAATATACGGGCCGTCAACAAGCGTACCAGATCTGCCGGTGCCGCTCACGAAAAGATTAGAACGCCAGAAATCTCGCGACCAAGGAACATTCCAGGCTTTCCGTTCTCATCAGAATTAACTCTAAATTTCATCCTCTTTTCAGTGGACAGGCCAGGCAGAAGCCGAGGGTAGGTCTGGGAGCCTTCAAGGTGTAAATGAATCCGCCTATGAGATGTCCCCATTGTTCGAAATCAATAATGGCCCAGAGAACGGATATTACGGTCGTTGGAATGGTGAGGGGAGTTTTCCTCCTCCCATGGGCTTCCCCAACGTGAGAAGTAAGTCATCAGCGCCATGGCGATAGACTTAGTGCCGCCTAAACTCAAGTTGACGTAGACCGTATACCATTCCGTCGTCCATTATAACAAAAGGAAGCGTGTCATGGACCCTGACCTGACGCTTGGACCACACTGTCAGCGGCGTGATCAGATCAAGTGTCGTTTCAGGCCATAAATCTGAAGGGGTGATTGTCGCCAGCATGTGTCCTGGAAATCGAGGTATCCTCCAGTTCCCTTGCTGTAGTAGGACAATAGATAGTGGTGGCCAGGATATTCAGCAGGAGGCACTGTGAACTCAGCAGGCCTTGTGGCTTCCAGCGTATTCTCATCCTTCGGGGCCTCGAAATCCGCCATCAGTCTAGAATTGTGAGTAATGAAGTGGTTTGTATCGGTTGGGAGACTAGTGGCTGGCTGCATGGTTTTTCGGAGAAGAATGGTGCTTTGAGAGCCATGGTTCTCCTCTTGTTGGTAATCGTTGAACATAGGCCACGATAACATCCACGCTCCAAGAGCTCTGCACAGGACAGTGCAGTAAAAAAAGACCAAAAAGAGGAGGATGAACGAAAACAACGATTTCACGAGGGGCATATTTCTCAATGCAAGATGGCCTGGCTCCGAAAGAGGCTCACGATCTTCACAAGCTTATCTCTAAATCTCTCAATCTCGCTCATCTTCTCGTCTCAAGCCTTTCCGTTAATATGTGCAGTATGACCAACCGTCTGAAGCTCGCAAAGTGGCAATGATGTGAAATGGAATGGCAATGTGCAGAAACACGTTCATTGTATGGATTGATGGATGCACTCGACAGTGCAATCGAAAACGCGGAAGGCTTGAGATCCGTAAAGCTACGCGACTTGCGCTGGTAGAAACCGATGATGTGCGCAAATACCTTCACAAGACCTCATTTCTGATACCAAATTCAGCTCTTGACCTTTCGCTGACCCCAAAAAGTGTGATAGTGGAGCCAATTCCAAGCTGGGAGGCGGAATTACCCTAGGTAGTCGAGCGTCGATGACCCGGCGAAGAAGAAATTCGAACAGCTCCTGAGACTTTTTGGAATTGTGGGTCGATAAGTGAAAACACCCAACATCGAAGGATTGTGCAAAGCTAACGCCGGTGTAGACTTGAAGCACCTAAGATAGTCCTGTGGAGGTGAAGGGTATCGCGGACGCTACGGTCTTAAATCCGATTCACAACATTCGCTGTCTAGACGAATAGTCAACTCGTAATTTGTAGAAGCAGACTTTGCTCTCAGCCCAGACGAGTCTCTGCCATGGTTGTGTGATCGTGGTCGTTGAGAGGGCGACTATGAAAGTAATATCTTCTAAACCACCTAGACTTTCGAACAAGATAGGGAGATGAACGTGACTGGGGACCATGATTGACCCTGAAAGAACCCTAACCCGCCACGGATCGCTCTGCAGCTGAGTGCGGCAGCCTAGCTTTGGGGCTGCGTTGATCCCTGCTACAGAACCAGGCCTATAAGGTCACTCACTCCCTTGGTCGCTCCAGAAAACCTTTCTTTTCTTCTTATTATCTTGGTTCGTTGCCTCCGTAAGACAGCAATATGACACGCCACAAGCAAGATCACTTCCGAATCTTCCCTATCGTCCTTTTTGCTCGGTTCTCTCTAATCCATTTTTAGGTTCCACGTAATTACCTCCTCAAGTGGGTGGCGGTATGTGTCGATTTCGAGCACGGGTACCTAAGTTACCAAACTACGCAGTCAAATGGCCTCATCGATATAGGCCAGGCACTGTTGCCCTCCGAGAGATCCGACGCTATCAGGTGCTCTGATCTTCTTAACCTGCTGTGAAAATAGTTGTGACCTATTAGGCTGCGCTCAACAGATCTGCTTATACGCAGATTGCCTTTCCAGCGGCTTGTGCGCGAGATTGCGCAAGATTTCAAATCACACCTACGATCCCAATCATCTGCGATTGGTGCCCTTCAGGAAGCTGCTGAAGCGTACCTTATCCCCTCCTTGCAGATACGAATTTATGTGCCATCCATGCTAAGAGAACCACAATACAGCGTAAGGGTATCTTATTGACACGTCGCCTGCGTCGGGATCTTGGATTGGTGACACTGTTGATCAAAGAATGTTAAATTACTTCACGATAAATCGGAATTACGTAACTAGACCCTTCTAAAAGAATGTTGTGTCTTTTGGATGGGGGTGAATATGGAATGATAGATGACCACCTTGGAAGATGCTTATCCCTGTAAACTACTCGCCGGATTCAGAGAGTCGTCAATAACTTAAAGCCTCTTGCTTTTTATACATCTCCAGCAATTCTTCTTCATTTTTAGATCGGGTAGCATCGCCGTCGACGTTGAGGTACGTAGCCATAGGTCAATTACAGAAAAAGTAGATTCACTCCATGCGGGCCTATAAGCCTTGGGAAGTTGGTGGCGACGGTGCAAGGAGTGCCCGAAAATTTCACATCACGATTGTACTTTACATGACCCACCGATTTAGAAACGGTGGTGCGACAGAATGCTCGACATCGCTTACTAAGTGGTGAATAGTATACACGATCTCCTTGGCTAAGATTGAGGCGGAAAGCAAGGCCGTCAGTAGCCACAACGAAGCCTGAGCGAGCGTTACGCTATAATGTGGCCATACTTACGCGTTGAGTGAGGATTTGAAAACCGTACCCGGTCAAGCGGATGATTAAACACACTCGTTGGCTGGTTAACCACTGTACTTTTCACTGTTCGATGAATATAGCGCTTACGGCAACGGATCTCCGGGGCGCTTAGGTGCACCGTCTGGCTTGAGAAGTGTCTTATAGTACCCAGCAATTTCCGGTAAAAATTGAATCGAAGTATTGATGTTTAGCTATATATACTCGCGACCTTCTGAGTTCGGTTTTATTCCTCGACGTTCTTGAGTCCTCCCACAGATCATCTCCTTCCCTTTCCCCGTTCCTAGAGTGACTATCTGTAGGTATCTCCCTCTTCAGAGCACACGCCAAAACGTCTCCTACCACAACTATTATCAATCACCTACGCCTACCATAGAGTCGAGAAAAGAGTGGAACCGAGGAACGACGATTAGGCCTAGAACGCAACTCCTGGGACTCTTTTCGCAACCAGATTTAGAGGTTCACGCTCAATAACGTGCATATTTGCTGCTGCCTTCTTACATTGAGGGTCCATGCAATCGGATCAGCGTCTATTCAATAGGAATTTTGACTGAGTATGGATCGTGCGCATTCTACGGCTCGGATATAGCGATTGTGGCCGTTCCGGAGAAGGGGAAGGATGGGTACGTTGCACCGCCACAGAACATAATGTAAGCTGTCTATGGCCGAGAGAATAGCTCGCAAAGGCATTCACGCATCGCCATAGAGTTGTATCGTCCCCGATCGCGACTATTCACAACCGGGGCTGAAGTCGATCTTTAGGAAGATGCTTCTAGGAACCGACGCGCTATTATAGGTATTGCGAAGCCGTAGCTAAAGGGCCTAGATTTAAAAAGCTTATCGTATCTTTTTAATGATATACACTAGGAAAATTAGAGAGTACAAAGCTTTCCCGCCAATTGTTTCAGCGCTTTTTGATATATATATAGTTTCAGTTCTCCTGCCTCACAGAACTAAAATACTCTGAACAATTCTTTTAGTGCCTCCCGTAGTAAGTTAGTAGCTAGACTTGAAGCACCTAAGATAGTCCTATAGAATAAAGGGTATTGCGGACGTTACGATCTAACTCGATTCACAAGATTCGCTACCTAGAAGTATAGTTATCTTTTAATTCGTAGAAGCGGAATATTCTCTCAGGCCAGACGAGTCTGTATTATGCTTATGATAGTTGTCAGTTGAGAGGGTAACTATAAAGGTAAGCATCACATAGGTTTTTGAATAAGGTAGAGAGATAAAAGTGACTACGGACCACAAGCAGCAGGGATAATGCTAAGGGCCGAAAGGCCGAGTAGACTTTCAGACAAGGTAGGTGGTGCGAATGTGTAAATTGCTAGCTCAAGACAAGGCTATGTCGTCAAATGCGGTTGCTAAGTAAACCACTATAGTTCGCGTTCTCGACCGAACGCCTGATCAAGGACCTCTTTCATCTCTGCTGCTATCGTAGTTCTCGGACCCAGGGCTGCTCAAGCTTCCCAAGATTTCCCTAACACGCGATCGAACCTCCTCAAGCGAGGCCCCGCTGCGAATAACCTGGAACAAATCGTCTATCTGACTGACTTGTGCGTTGTGAAAAACCTGCAGAAGATCCTGCAGCAATCTTTGAATCTCATCTGGCCACAGGTGTGAACAGTCCAAAGGGTCGTATCCGTGATTGAAATGGCTTCTGCAAGTCTTCCCGAGTTTGGTGCATTTGGTACAGACCGTGATGCCACCTTCTGCAGTGCTCGAAAGCTAGTGGCTTGTCAGCTTAAGCTTCGTGCAACATATGGGATGGCGTTATTCACTCTCGAATCTGGCTGCCTAGCCCAGTTGCCCATTGGGTCTCGAGTCTACTGGGAGACTAGTGACAATATCTTCAGGCTACTCAGGTTGACGGCGACGTTGAGAATTGGGATGATGATGAGAATGTTCACGAAAAGCTCGCCGTACCTGGCTTTAAACGAATTGAAGTGATTTGCATATCTTGGGTAATATCACCTGATGGGTTATGCCATCTTGGGATGGCTGCCCAGTCAACGCCCAGCAAGGAAACCTCGTGTTTGATTATCTCTGCTCCCTGCGTCAGAAGGGCCAACCCATGGAGAGTGTGTGTACGGAATCCGTGGCCGGTTCAACTGTGTAGCCAACAGCCATACCCAACTTCTCTTGGGAGATGGATCCTTACCCTCGACCGGGACATGTCATGACCATGTACTATATCGGTAGGGTTTGAACCACGTAGAGCGTAATTGCATTCCACCAAGGAAAGTACTCGTCGATGGGTCAAGGAGTCCAACAGCAAGTCGCTGAGCGACAAGATGATGCCCTATGCGATCTTGGCAATGGGAAGTGTCTTTGCGCAATGACGAAATCGAAGCATCATCGAGATACGTTCATCCAGATTCTGGACAAAGGTGTGATGAAGAGCGGAGAGACCATCAGCTTACAATTGGTCCAGACCAAGCTAATCCTGGCCCTGTTTGCTCTCTCACAAGGCCGAGGCCAGTATAATCAAGCGTGGGATTTGTTTGGTTGGGCTTGTGAGCCGGTTTCGGCTTGAGATACCGTTCGGGAGGAGCGTCTCCTAACCCACAGTCACCACGGGTCAGGATGTCGTTTGAAACATGCGACGTTGGTCGAAATGCAGGCAAAGAACATTCTGGTCGACAAATGTCTTGGAATGCTCCAATAGTCGCTGCGCAGCATCCGTCACCACCGTCAGTCGTTCTGATTGACATCTACGCTTACCAAATACGCAAGAGGCCTATGATACAGGTCATATCCCCT